TGGTGGTGAACCCATCACCAGGATGAAACTCTCGTGGTTGGCCCAGGTCATGACAAGAAACTGGCTATTTGAGATATATGGAGGTTTCCTGAAATGGGTACCCTCTGGTAAACATACAAAAAACTATGGAAAGATCCACCATTTTTAATGGGAAAATCCACTATTTCTATGGTCATTTTCAATAACAATATGGAAAATTTCAGGATCCCCCCAAAATATGGCCAGAAATATGGTACTAACGTACCTCCATTTTAGGATCCTGAAGATCTCCCATTGAATATATGGAGGTTTCCTGAAATGGGGGCACCCCCAAATCATCCGTTTTAATAGGATGTTCATTAAAGACCCAACCATTCTGGGGATCCCCCAGTTATGGAAATCCCCAGATGTGTACTTAGTATTCCCCAATTCACAAAGGCAGCGTTTCAAATATCCTGGCATCCCACGAAATACTGGTTCATGGATGACGATGATTCACTATATATATATACATATACATATATACATATACATATATATATATATACAGTATATTGGCTAGCGTAGTCCCCTATATCATACAAACCCTTTGTTCCCAAAGAAAGATTTGAAATTCTCCGCAAAAGGGCCAAAGAAGGCATCTTTGGGAACTCAGAGCGGAAAACATCCTGGGGATTGCCTTCCCTCGTCCCAGAAGTATCTAAGGAAAATACCTTCCGGTAATCGAACGTGGCAATTGAACATCCCATTGAAATTGAGGCTTATAGCTGGGAAAATCATCTATACATGGTGGATTTTCCAGCAAGCCATGTTTGATGAAGGGCACCCCTAGTTTTGCTGGTGAAATACATCCAAAATCTCATATGAAACCTCATGATTCCCACATATTCCCACTCAAAAAGTATAGTAAAGGAATACTAGTAACATACTATACCCTCCAGGTGCAAATTTCCTCGTGAGGATACAGTACCCTCCATCTGAAAAGAATTACGTCTACGAATGTGCTGAACCCTTACGCACAGACCCCTACGTTTGCCCAAGCCCCAAGTACCAATTGCACTACATTATTTGGTTGTTAGGGATTCATATGTATGTATATTATATTATATATATATATGTATAATAAAGATATATATATATAAAAAAAGATGTGTATATATATATATATATATATGTATATATAAATATAAAGATGTGTATTTCTTTAAAGATATATATAGTTTTTAAGAGATATAGATATAGATATAGATATAGATATATAAATATATGTATATATCATAATATATAATATTGAATATATACCCAGCCATAATACAAGTGGATGGTTTCGTGGCATGCCAAATTTCGGATCGGGGTCCCGGACAATCCTCGCAGAGAACCTCTGCCACCGTGGCTGGATACTCCGAGCCTTGGCGCATGGCGTGGCGCATGGCGAAGCATGGCTTGGAGCATGGCTTGGAGCCGCTGAAGCCACCGTCACTTTGGAAAATCCCCAAACTCATAGAGGTTTTAATAGGAAAATCCACTAGAAAAGGAAGTTTTAATAGGAAAATCCACTATAAATAGAGGTTTATAGCTGGGAAAATAGCCTGTAAATGGAGGTTTATAGCTGGGAAAACCAATGAATGGGGCATCGACCATCAAAATAAGGTATCCCACATTTCCCATAATTCGCATATATGGTAATGTTCATCCTGCATTTCTTGGTTAACATGTATACATTAACCAATACATAACATGTTTTAAGCAGATCGAAAAGCTTACCCTCCGGTGTCAAAGATGGCATGCCGGAAAATCCCCCCTTTGTACATGATTCTTCCAGCGAAAAAAACCTCCATCTGTAGGGGATGTCCCATTACCATTACCGAAGGGCCGAACGGTACCTGGGGTGCTATCGGTTTATCATGTCCTATCCCATTCTTAACTTCGGATTCATAGTAGATACTAGATTTACAGTAGATTAAAGATGTAGGGCGTTGTATCAGCTATATCCCAAAATCATCCATCCCTGGAAGCAATCAGTCAAAATGGGGATACCCTACGGTAATCAAACGTGGCAATTGGAAAACCACTAGAAATGGTGGTTTCAATAGGAAAATCACCTATAAACAGTGTACTTTCCATTGCCATGTTTGATTACCGAAGGGTATAGGCAAACAAGAAACAAAAAATGGTTGGATGTTTGGATATTTGGGTCAAAAATTGTCAAAAGCAAAGGCCCCAATGGAACCACAGATGAACTAGTCATTTTCTCATTTTCAGTAGCCATCTCATTTCGGGGTAACCAATTTTGAAGCACCCAAAATCCTATGTATTCTGAGTTTGAATCCGAAATCCAACGAATATGGATGATTTCTGACGTGTGCATCTAGATCTGGTTTTTGAACCCCAACGGATTTTAAACATACAATGCTCTTCCAAAAAAAAAGTTGGCACAATCCTTTCCCTATATGGTTAACTCCATTTTTGGTTGGTGATATACCAATATACCCAAGATGGTTGAACTGGCAATTTTTGATCATATTCATCATATATTGGCTACATGATCATCCCCGTTTCAGTATGGTTTGACCATGATTAAACCATACTGACCCTCTCAATTCTTGATGGTAAAAATCCCACCATAAACCACTGCTTTGAAGTCTCCCCATCTTTCACCCATTCGATCCTCAGTAATTATGCCAAGTACGAGTTGCAAGTCAAATGTTTTCGTGCTAAATTGATGTGCATTGGCTATGGCTCAATACTATAGGGAAAAAATAAAATTGAACCTGGTGTTGGTGGTTGATTGGCCAACAATCATGAACCCACGAAAATTTCTCGCGGTGAGTCTTAAATCAATTACCCTCTGGTTATTCAACGTAGCTATAGACAATCACCATTTTTAAGAACGGTAAACCATCTATTTCTATACCATGGCTATGTTAGTCATGACCAGAGGGTAAACCATACTAAAGCTATACTGGTTGGTGGTATACCTACCCATCTGAAAAATATGAAAGTCAGTTGAGATTATTATTCCCAATATATGGAAAGTCATAAAAGTCATGTTCCAACCCACCAACCAGAATAGTATTTTACTGATATGTTCTCTGATGGTATCATCAACATCAACATCACAATCACACCATCTAAAGCTATACTACCCTCTGGTAAACTAACATAGCTATTGAAAATTGCAATTTATAGTTGATTTTCCCATTAATAATGGTGATTTTCCATAGTTATGTTAAATTACCAGAGGGTAAAGCCATGCAAAATCTTGGGACTTCATCCATGAACATCCTCAGCGCCGCACAAGAGAGGCCACCTAAGACCTGCCATTTTTGGTCCGGTTCCGAAGGTCCGCTGTAGCTTTTGGGAATGCGTTCCCATCATTGACTAACAGGATTCAATGATAAAAATAGAGGTACTAAATAGAGGTACTAAATAGAGGTACCATCATTAAAAATATCCATCAATGATAAATCAATGGGAGATCTTCAGGATCCTAAAATAGAGGTACGTTAGTACCATATAAGGCATTATAAGGCCATATTTTGTGGAAATATTCCCTTACATAGGCCTGAAAAATAGGCCTTATATATGGTAGGTACCTCCAATTTTGGTTCCTGAGATGGCCAGTGAATAAATACCTGGAGATATAAATGATATCTACAAATGAGAAAAGGAAATGTGACCACTGTGATGTCATATCTGTTCACTTATACCTATCATCATACAATGAACATGATGATGATGATAGTTTAGGAATGGTTATATGATAATTATAACTATAATACTCTGGGCACAACAAAATAATGTTCTGCTCAAATTGATATGATGATCATGTGACATTCATCATACTTAGCGACTCTGAAACAAGTGGCTCCGGCGAAATCTGTACGAAACCGGAAAACCATGTTGTTTCGTGCCAAAGCATACGTGGCATAGCTATCTACTATCGCAGTGGCATGGGATCCATGGAACAGCGTCGTTTTGCTGTTGTCCCGGTGTCACTGATGGTTGCTGTGGATTCATTTTGTTGCTATGCGATTCACGATTCATGGAGTTTGATCATCCCCAAATGTTGACATGTGGAAGGGGATGGGGATTGATTTTAGGGCTCTCCCATGATTGATTGGCACTCCTGTATCTACGGGCAACATCGCAAAACGTGGGAGCTAAAAATTGCCATGGTCGTAGGTAAACAACTTGTGTGAGGACTCAAAAATTTTGAGCTTCCTAGAAATCTGTGAGTCTGTGAGTCTGGATGATTCTGAAGCCTATCAATAGTCTTCTCTAACCTCATGAACTCCCAAACATAGGAAAGGAGGTGAGGATGATGGCGATGATGATGAGGATGGCGCCGTTTTTAATGTGATCTTGATGGTGTGATAGTGCTGTGGTGATGATACCATCAGAGAACATACCAAGCATTGCAAACCCTGGGCGATATACCATCTGGTTATGACATTCACAGTTTGCCATGGAAAGATCCACCCATTTTTAAGAACGGTAAACCATCTATTTCGATTAGGGCCATCCAAAAACCATGGCGAACTGTTAGTCATAGCCAGAGGGTATTGTTTGCTTCGCCTGGCCTTCTTCCTCTTCTGCCGAATGTGTGGCTGTCGCTGTGCTACCTGTGACGATTGACTATGATGCCCTGGGAAATGCACGTGACTTTCCAACACCCTGAAAAAGACATGGAAAATCCCTCTATCAATGGATTGTTAATGGAAACTTATAGTTAATTATAATAATGGATGGTTTACAAATGGGTATAGTTAATTATAATATGTGATAGGGCTTTCCATCAATGGGGTTACCCCCAATAGCTGGATGGTTTATTTCATGGAAAATACCTCTATAAATGGATGCTGACTGGGGGTACCATGAAAACAGCCCTGTCCCATCTACTGGTTGGTAAATGGGAGTGGGAAAAAGTATGGCCTAAGTTCATCCCGAATAAACCATGGAAACCCGGTAATGGCCCATGTATATATCCATAGATCGTTTATATACCTCTTTAAATTTCATGGATTTTCCCTGGCTATGTTCATTGCAGTACCAGATTGTAGCTTACCAACCCCCTCAATTCACCCACAGGTGTCACTCATTGCTCAGATCGAATCCGTGCATGATACCTGCTTCTAGTTTCACTGAGCAAACATGGCATTCCAAAACAATGGGAAAACATAGGAAAATATGGGAATTGAGTGGTGATAGAAGTTACCTATAGTTGTAACATTCCATGCCGGGAGTTTCCTGCAGGCCATGCGGTACCCCGGTACTCCATTTGGCCATGGGACCACCGGGATCTTTATGACCAAAACATCGATCTGACTGGAAAGTTCCAGACATATCTGTGATTTCTTTGCCTACAACTGGCATACGTATTTTAAAAAAACGACAAGTTGGCAAATCCTGGAAAATCACATCATTCAAAATGAAAAAACATCATCATAGTACTATAAATGTATATCATCCCCATCTGTTTCCCTTCTCGCCACCGCTTTGCCCGTTTCTTTCGCCGACCTCCTCGTAGGCCTTGTCGCAGAAGAGGGTATTGTCCTGGGCCACAACGGGTCACAACGGGACCCACTGAGATGATCCAAAGATTGGAAAGCCATGGGAATGTGACAATCCACCAATGTTAGTGGTTAATCTATCCATATATGGTTAATCTATATCAATCATCAATGGTTAAGCTATGGTTAATCTATGGTTAATCTATGGTTAATCTATATATCAATCATCAATGGTTAATCTATGGGTAATCTATATATATATATATCAATCATCAATGGTTAATCTATGGTGAATCTATATATCAATCATCTATTTTGGAAAGCCATTGGAATTCGTGACCCTCGTGACAGCCGATTCTGCTTGGCAAGGCACCACTTCGCACGTTGCGAGTTGGTCCGGATAGACCTCAAGGGAGATGAATCTCGGAATCCCATTGGTTTCAACGCCAAACCAAGAGAAACAGTGGTGTCACCAGTCACCATTCCTGGGTCGAAGTGCAAACATCGAAAAATAAAAAAACCTGTGGCTTTTCAGCTGGGGGTTTCCTGAATTTCTGGTCCTCCAAGCTCGGAAATACCCCCGGCTTCCAGGGTTTCCCCAACAGAACAGGTGGTCTGCTCGCACTTCACGGTGGTGTGGTTCTTTCGCTTGCCCGTGGCATGGGTTGCGGCCTCGGAGAAAACTCTCCCCGTAAGTAAGCCCCATTGATGAATGGAAATGTTCAACAAGAAAAATGTGGTTTAGGAACATACATAGGTTGTCATAGGTGGGTGTATGTATATATATATGTATATATATAGGCAGGTGTGTTTTTAAGGATTCTTTAATTCATTTTGATACAATTTTCACAGGACACCTGTCCTAAACAGGGCATGGAACGCTTTGGAAATGCTTCAAGCCATCCAGCCAGGCCCCAGTCCTGCGCCTTGGACAGAACCAGGTGCTGCCAAGGAACAAACCCCTCCAGCGAAAAGAAGTCTTTGCATTGCTCACACCTCAAGCGGATGACTTGGCCGCACCTTCGTGGCTTTCAGTTGCCATGGCAAGGTGGGTGTTCCACTTAAGCGGCCACGTTGGCGTGGAGCACCAACAATGATGGCTTTCATATCCCAATTCATAGGTTGGCCATCCATTTTTATTCAATGTTAAGGTAAATACATAATTTCAAGAGCATTTTGGGAATGAATCAAACATGTCTGACCTTGGGACTTGCTGCTTTTGGTGATCAAAAAATGTAGGCTCCCCCGAATAGCCCGGATGGAAATGATTGTGGAATTTCAAGTTGGGGTGGGACTATCAAGCTGGAGTACCCCAAAAAAAGCAACCTGAACTTCAATCCAAAGCTGGCCGGTGCTTAGGTGCTTAAATATAGAATAGGGATCAATTTACCATCTGGTTATTTAACAGTTTGCCATGGAAAGATCCACCATTTTTAAGAACGGTAAACCGTCTATTTCGATTAGGGCCATCCAAAAACCATGGCGAACTGTTAGTCATAACCATAGGGTTTTTCAGGTGGAATTTTTGAGGCTTTTTAACATAGAAACAAACCTGGCTTGCTGGCAAAATCCACCATAAATAGTTGCATGATAAAATCCCAGCGACAAGCCGCTGCATTTTTTTAATGTTTGATTGCCGGAGAAGGTATATCCCCATTGTGGTTCAACGAATATTGACCATTATATCATTAGTGAAACCATAATATATGTTTAAGTAATATCACATAAGTAATTTCTGTATCAACTTATATCAACCATTTTCTAACCCATTATTTTTTCATATCCAAAAAAAGTATCCCAGACTCTATCACCATTCAACGGTTCAACCTGGCTGGGTCCAGTTCTCAGGTTCCGACTTGACCCTGGCAGGCTGACCTTCGATCTCAGTGCCTTGGTGTGACATGGATGGCCGCGGGTCCCAAAAGTCGAGGTCTGCCCCGGCGAAAGCTGGTGGTCCTCGAAAAAACATCCCATCACGGTGTGAACAAATCCCCATGTTCCACAGAATGGAAGCTCATGAGATCTTCCTGGACCTCAAGATGGATTGCTTCACATGGCTAATATATAGGATGCTCAAAAAATGTTTCGTATATATATATATATATACATATGTATATATATATATATATATATATCCTCAAAATATCTTCAAAATGGCCAGAGACTAAGTTGTACGGCACTATCCATCCACTTGGTTTCGCCCCTTAAGGTGTCGGGCGGTGTCGGGTGTTACAGATCAACGGGGGTTCCGGGATTGTAGCCACTTTTCAACCATGACTTACCACTACGAACATCTACGAACCACTATGAAAACCATCAGTTGAGGCCATTTCACATCATTAACTTGACTTAAGCATTAAAAAAGAAAACATCACTACTATAGTCACTATATATAGTCACTGCTGAACCATCCTCATAAATTTCACATCTCCCATAGATCACCCATAGCCGAGTGACACATGATCACTGCATCCGGCTTGTTCAGCACCTCTAAGCGGATCTGTTCGTTGCGCACCTGACAGCAGCCATGGGGAAACACCATGGGGAAACACCCCCAGGAAAATCGTCAATGTTGGGATGTTCCACATCGTAGTGTTATGATGTATTATATTTATGTATATTGTTATTGCTAGTGTTATTCTTACTGTTCTATTAATATTAAGTTGTTAATTCCTTATCACTTGTCTTAATACAGTTATCATTATCATTGTGATTCATCTATGTCAAGTATCATCTATAATTATGGATGTTGTCATCTATAGAATTATGATGTCCTAATACAATTATCATTGTGATTCATCATACATCTATCATTGACATCATTATCTTTGGGAACATCAATGTCAATCCGGGATTCACAAACTCCGCTGTTTGCTTTGGGGGTAACATTTCAGCAGCAAATGATCACTTTTGGGACAGCCTGACAGTCAACCAGCTTTCTTTTTAAACCTAGGGTTGACATATGTTGAGATATGACATTGTCAAAAATATTCAAAAATCCACCATCAGTTTTCACAGCACCCAATGGGTGGTGGGGGCAATCCGATTTTGATTACACGAGATGTGTCACGTGTGATTTGTGATAATATAAGTTGCACGCAATGAGGGTTGTAATTTGATGTGTTCCCAGAATTCCTTCCCCAAATCAAGTACCATTTGAACACATCAATTTTTACGTGATATCGAGATGTTCACGTATTGAAGTCTGCCTGCTTTTGCTGAGCATGAAGCCTTTTTGTGGCTCCAAAAAACTGAGGTTGGTTAGCTAGATTCCCCATGATTGCTGGATATCAATTCCGGATATCAAACCTCCCTTCATAAAACGGCTTTTTCAGTATATGGTCCATCGTTTTCATCAATCATTGCCTATCCCCCATCATCTCCGGAATTAACCCCCTTGGATCCATGGTCCATTTATACATAATAAACATCATGAATTACCTATTACAATAATAAGTAACACTGGTTGATATTTGTACCCTCTGGTACACATAGCTAATGAAAATTGCCATTTATAGTGGATTTACCCATTAAAAATGCTGATTTTCTATGGTTATGTTAAATTACCAGTGGGTAGCATCTATGAATAGCATGGTGATGTTCCTATTACCCTCTGGTAAACAGCCACATAACAATGGAAAGATCCACCAGGCTATTAATGGGTAAATTGGCCATTTTCAATAGAAGACTGTTAAATTACCAGAGGGTATATCCCATTAATATCCCATTGAATCACTATAAAGTCCCATTAAATCATTATTTTCAGAGGGGTTGAAACCACCAACCAGTTGTGTGTGTGTGTGTCCCCGGGTCTTGAACTCAACTCGACCTCCCGTCATGGCTTCTGACACCTCGTGCAGAAAGGTGTCCATGTCTGCCTTCTGCTGTGCTTGCAGCGCGATGTCGTACTGGTCCTGTTGCGACAACGAGAAGAACTCGAAGTTTTCACAAAATCCAGAGGATCAAAGGAAGATTCACCAATATCTCTAATAGTACTCATACAAGATTTTTGCTTCAAAATCATTCCAATTAGACCATCCCAAATGATTTATATTCGATTATTAGATCATATGTCATCATTCATGATATATGATGATATATGACGTGATATACATATATATATATATATAATTATATATATATATGATTGTTGATCAAAATCACTTTATCCGGGAACGGCCATTCTTGAATTAATTCTGTAGCTTAATTATATACATACATTAATGATATCTGTAGTTTAATGTATGAATCCATCGCGGAACTCGAATAAAAATCGCAGAATTCCAAGCTCCGATCGCACCACACCGTTGGGGACTTTCCGGACTTTCCGGACGGTCCTCGGCGTAGGATTCGATGGCCACTTTGAGACGTCGGGTGGTGTCGTGTTCGATGGTCGTATCGATGTAGATCAACACCGCCAGGCCTCGGGACCGAGCATTTTTTGGGAGGTCACGGCGGCCGGTCACGAGCTGCTCATCTTTGACCAACATATATATAGCCAAACTAAACAACTATATATATATATATGGTTAGCAAACAATAATGGTTAATATATGGTTATATACATATATATATATATGGTTAATATATGGTTAATGATGATTTATAATGATCTGGTTGGTGGTATACCTACCCCTCTGAAAAATATGAAAGTCAGTTGGGACTATTATTCCCAATATATGAAAAAAAAACATGTTCCAAACCACCAACCAGTAATATAGAAATATATAGACACGAAAGATATCCAGGATAGTTCAGCCAAAAAGAAGCAAGAGTTTCATGTTTCTGAACTGGTACACCAAAAGATCTCCTGGATGTCGCGTAGCTTCTTTGGTTGGATGTCAAAATCTTCAAGTTCTTGTGGAAGGATTGTGCTGTCTACCTTCTTTTTTGCAGAATGATACCATTTTTAGAGATGAACAATATTTATTCAAAAATACCACAGTCTCTTGGGAGAATCATCTTAGGTGTTTCAGATGCAAACACAACACAACATATGTATATATATAATTATATATATATATAATTATATATATAATTATATATACTGTGTATATATGTATATATATATAATATGTATAATTATTAAGTGTAATCATCTGTATCTTGTACGGTTGAGGAATCCACCACCATTTTAGGAGCGTTGAGTCGCCCAACGCTCAATGATTTCGGGCGTCACCGGAGGCAGCTCGCGGTAGATGCGATTCCTAGTGGCGACAGAGATTTGACCATGGGAATGACGTGGGATTTTGATGGATTTTTTGCTGGGGAAAACCTCCATTTTATCATGTTCAATGGGATTCAACCATGAAATCTGAAAAATCACAATTTGTTTGATGGTTTTTAGATATGTCAAAATCCCATCAATTTTCACCACGGTTGGATGCTTAAATCCCCATGGAAAAACGGATCGCAAGCCCCTGACTATGGATTAGATTTGAGGTATCGCAAGCCCCTCTATTTGCATCATCCATTCTTGCGGGGTTGGGGGGGATCAATTGAGCCCTACCCAATTCATTGGAGTCATAAGTTCAAAGCCATAGCTTGAACGAGGTTTGTTCAAACACACGTCAACTAGCAGTAGATTTGTGACTCAAATTGGGGTATTATATCGCTAACAAACAAGGATTTAAGACATACCCGATGACAAGAAAAATGATGGAACTCCGGCAATTTTGCTGAAAACGGGCCGTGAGGAAAGTCGCCAGGCCGCTTTGATCTCAACTCATCAACATCTTTGGTCACTTGGCTCTCAAGCGTTCAGTCATTCAGCGGTTTCAACATATTTCAACCAACTCTGGCTCTAAACAGCTCCCGAAAAAATATCATGACCAATCTGCACAAGAGTTGTGGCTCCTACTTTGCTATTCTATTATAAGTATATGACATTTTATTATTTCTATCAAAATTTAGCAAACCAACCATTATTTCTATCAAAATTGAGCAAACCAACCATTATTTCTATCAAAATTGAGCAAACCAACCATTATTTCTATCAAAATTGAGCAAACCAACCATTATTTCTATCAAAATTGAGCAAACCAACCATTATTTCTATCAAAATTGAGCAAACCAACCATTATTTCTATCAAAATTGAGCAAACCAACCATTATTTCTATCAAAATTGAGCAAACCAACCATTATTTCTATCAAAATTGAGCAAACCAACCATTATTTCTATCAAAATTGAGCAAACCAACCATTATTTCTATCAAAATTGAGCAAACCAACCATTATTTCTATCAAAATTGAGCAAACCAACCATTATTTCTATCAAAATTGAGCAAACCAACCATTATTTCTATCAAAATTGAGCAAACCAACCATTATTTCTATCAAAATTGAGCAAACCAACCATTATTTCTATCAAAATTGAGCAAACCAACCATTATTTCTATCAAAATTGAGCAAACCAACCATTATTTCTATCAAAATTGAGCAAACCAACCATTATTTCTATCAAAATTGAGCAAACCAACCATTATTTCTATCAAAATTGAGCAAACCAACCATTATTTCTATCAAAATTGAGCAAACCAACCATTATTTCTATCAAAATTGAGCAAACCAACCATTATATATTTCTATCAAAATTGAGCAAACCAACCATTATTTCTATCAAAATTGAGCAAACCAACCATTATTTCTATCAAAATTGAGCAAACCAACCACAAAAAAATATAAAAAATGATAAAAAATGGGTATTTCACCTACCATTCCCCAGTCAGTTGAACTAACTGACTGGCCTGTCAAAATCCTGGGACTCCCTGCAGGACTTCGTTCATAATCACCGCCAGATGAGGCTTCACCTGAAGCACATGACGGTGACAAAAAAAAACATGAACCATCCATTTAAAAATTCATGTGCCATGGTCAAACCACAAGAAATATATCTGGGTAAATGAAATAATAATTCACTAACCTGAAATAAGTTGGGCCATAAAAGGGGATGATTTCCCGAATCCTAACCATGGATTTCCAGGCTTCGGGAGAACAGGCTTCGGTCGTGATTTCATTTACCCAGATATATAGATTGATTACCATTAATCTCCATTATATATATATAATCACCATTATTAACCCATTAACCATTAATGGTTTATGGATCTTTAAACAGTCATCCGTCCCAGTCTCTATCTCCAATTTTTCCTGTAGTTCAGAAATCCCCTGGATCGATGACCATTTAAAACCATCTCCCGGACCATGGAAATCATAAAATAAACGAAAAATATGTGTTTCGACCATGGCACATTAATATAGACTATACCACCTGGTTATGACTAACATAGCCATGGTATAGATGGTGAAAATAGAAATAGATGGTTTATACCGTTCTGAAAAATGGTGGATTTTTCCATGGCAAACTCTTAAATAACCAGAGGGTATAGTCTATATGTGCCATGTTTCATAGCTAAATCAGCTATAAATAGCCATTGTCTATAGCAAACTGTTAGTTTACCAGAGGGTATAGATGATGTTTGCATAGCACCCCCTCATAGATGCCACAAAGTCGGACCCCTCAGGTTCAGAATCGCTGAAAAAACCCACACATCCTGGATCTGAGCATTTTTCGGGCCCAAAAAACATCATCAACTGGTTGGAAAATATAGGAAGAACATGTTCCAGGTAAACAAGAACATGTTCCATTGCACAACTATCTTGGAAAAACATCTTTTTGGGGTGCATCTTTCCAAGATAGGAAGTGTAACTTTCCAAGATATTGGGAGCAAATATCGAATATATATTATCCAATAAACTTCTGACCCCTTTTTTTTTGTCATACCCTCCAGTAAATTTTCACAGTTCGACCCTGGCATGAGTCGGGGTTGGAAGGTGAGTGTCCACTAAAAATGAGTTATTTTCGGAGTCAACAACTTCATTTACGAGAGGGTATATGACCTTATAACCCACTTAGGGTATATCCCAGCTACACTGCTGGCTAATTTACCAGACTTTACCCTCTGGTCATTTAACAGTTTGCTTTTGAAAATGGATGAACATGGCCCATAGAATCCCATAGAAATAGTTGATTTATACTTGATTTCATCAATTAAAGATCAACTATTGGAAAATAGGTATACAACTATTTATACCATCAATTTGCTATAAATGGCCCATTTATCATAGCAAACTCTCAGTTTACCCGAGGCGAACTATTGGAAAACCCTACCGGCCCTAATGGCACCTTCCGGCCAATGGTGCCCATGCGCTCCTGGAACTTTCGCACCTTTCACGACGCAAAGGTGAAAGGGTCGTGAAAAACCGTCAGCTCGATTAATGGAGTATCACCCACTGATATATGGGATGAAATATGGGATCATATGTGTTTTTTTTGGGGATTATACATGGAATGAAGATCAATGAAGTATGGGTGATATATGGATGAAATAAACCACTTACTCGTGGGATGCACATCTAAGTAATGGATATGTCACCTGTACAAGGTGAAGCCGATCTCATGACTGAACATCGGCAGGGGGAACCACTAGTCACAAGCGGAACCGTTAGTGTGTTAGGGATGGTTGATATCACCAAAATGGGATATCTGATATTTCATGATATGTTTGAGTTGGTTGATATCCAAAAACTGAATGCTTCATGATATATATATATACATATACAGTATATATAAACCATGTCTGCTAGGGATCACCAAAATATGGAATTCTGGGAAACTTCCATGGAAAATCTACCACTCCAACAGAAAAAAAAAACACCGCGAAGCGTCCACCGGCTCGATGGAAAATCCTGGAATCATCGACAAATACTGTGGATGCGAAGCCCTGCACCGGTTGATAGGTGGTTTATCCCATTATTTATAGGGTTTCAACCTGTTTCAACCATCCTTTTGGTGCAGGATTTCGCAACCATCCACCGTAGGGCCCAAAAATTCCATGGAATTCGCCTTTTCAATATCTGTTGTGGTCTGTTTTTCAACATAAACATGGGATAAACCATGGCTGTACAAATGGCAAGTCGGAAACCGGCTGAGTCTGTTCGGAACTGAGTCGTCTTTCGCCTTGTCCACAAACTGTTTGTACCTGAAGCCATGGCTGGACATCATGCCGTGGCTCGTGTTTTGTGAGTTTCACGCCGCAGTTTTCTTGTATTTCACTTGCCGGAAATAGATACGAAAATTTATAAGTTCACTGAGTGTTTCACATGTCAAAAGGTTAACATGACGGTGTTTCACATGTCAATAGGATAGTCATGGATAGTCAATAGGTCGTGCGCGCTTCACCACGCTACAGGGTGAACCAGCCGGTGAACAAAGGAGGATCCCATCGGACCTGAATTCCCCTATGATTTCATGTGGCAACAACTTCACCATGGGAATATATGGCAGTGTGTCAAAACCTTGTACCCCTGGTGAACATCAAAATAGCTGGTAAATGGATGTTCATTCCCCTAAGAATGGTATGTATAGGTATTGATCCATACCCATATGGGAATATGATGTGTTTTCAACATGTTTCCCAAAAACAAACATGGCAAAATACCATGATTCATGGCAAATTTCATGGGATTTGCTTTCCCACCTCCGGAAAAAAACTGAGGGGTCATCATGTTCCCAAGATCTTCAAACGGCCAGATCTGCCAGTGATTGGCCGCACTGGGTCACTTAAAGATCACCGGATGCTCCGTTGTAAGTCGCTTGGTCTTGGCATGATAGTATGCCTGGTTGCCTGACCGAAAACGACGGGGTTATCTCGGTTGTAGATTATAGATGCCCTTTTTTGTAATTTAACATAAGGAAAATGGTATCTATATAAGAGACAACTTTTTTACATACAGTATTGGAAACGGTGAATTTCCATAATCGTGTTGAATTACTAAAGGGCATATCAATGCATAGCATATATTTAACTGGGGTTTACTGTACATTGTTGTAGCTTCGTGGGCGGTAACCACGGTTGATGATGTCTTTTGCAAGTAGAACTGCTTGGGCCACAAGTTTCCTATGGCCTATGGGTCACTTCTGTCTTCCAACTCAGCTCGAAGGCTCGAAGTTGATCCCAAACAGATTGGATGCTCTTTCGCACAGAAAAAAGTGACCCGTTCACTCGAAAGAAATATGATTATGTCAGATCATGTCAGATCCTAGAGCGACCAAGTTTGTAAACCTTTCCCGGTGAAAGTTTAGAGGCTCCATCTCCGAAGCTGGACGCTGAACGGCGAGGTTCCTTTGCCTAAATTGGGACCTACAAAAGTGATTTTTTAGGATTCCTTGATCATTTTTTAAAATGAACAAGTCTGGATAGGATAGTCGGATAGTCCCAAATCCCCAGTGAACCGCTTTCTATACCCCAACAACTGCAAAGCAATCACCCGATATGTCCACAGCCGCCCCCTCGACAGCGTGCCGTCGTCATCTTCGAACTCAACCCAATCTGGAGGCAACTCAACCTGCTGCTGCTCTGGGCAGCAGTGTGTTTCTGGCATACCACAACCCAGAAATCATGGGGATATAAGTGGGGTAGCTTACCAACAAATGGGGGAAGTGTACCCATCAATAGTGGCGATATCATGGGACATATAATGAAATGTATAGATATAGATATAGATATAGATATAGAGAAAAAGATAAAGATATGTATTACATGTATAGATATAGATATAGAGAAAAAGATAAAGATATGTATTACATGTATAGATATAGATATAGATATAGAGATAAAGATATGTATACATATATAGGTATATATAAATAGGTATAGATATAGATTTTAGATATTGGATGTTAGATCTTAGATATATATATATATATTTATATATATATGGATATAGATATAGATATAGATATAATATGTATGACTTTGTATACATATATATATACCCAACAGAATGTTCTTGGGGGTCTCTTTGGGAATGAGGTATGGCCTCGCATTTATGGCCATTAAAAAAAAAAAAAACTGAGGAAAATGATAATTCATCCACGGATAGATTGTCTGGGAAATCCTCCCATTTACCCTCTGGTAAACTAACATAACTATTGAAAGTCACCACTTTTAATAGGCAACAACTAATACTGTATGAATCAAGGGACAAAAGCAGAGATGCAGGATACATCCCAAAACAGATGCTGATGCATGTCCTTTCGCCATGAGATCTCATTTCAGCCGCGGGGCAAAATGAAGAATGTGTACCACGGGAACTGAGAATTCCAGGGCGACGTCGGTGTCCGTCGAAGCTTCGGAGCATCGCTTCCTTTTCAGCTGCAAAAATGGATCTCTTCAGGCCGCGAATCTCTCCTTCGTGCTCGAGCCGCACCCTTGACACCACCTGCGGCATGGCACTCTCCAAAATCCAGAAAGGCGGTGGTGAAGACCTTGCAATGTAAATCAACTGGTTGGTGGTTTTAACCATCTTGAAAAATTTTAGTCAATGGGAAGGATTATCCTATATATTTTATGGAAAATAACATTCATGTTCCAAACCACCAACCAGTCAACTATTTCCATGGGCCATTTTCATCCATTTTCCATAGCAAACTGTTAGTTTACCGGAGGCTTTGTGAGTCTGACCTCAATTTTTCCCAAAAATTCTGCCCAATGGATCTACTGGGCTGATTTTTCGCAAGTTCAGTGTCATCTAAGCTTATGATGGGTACAAATAGGGATGGACACAAGTCAGATGGTAGGTGACCATTTGGATCTTATGACCATTTGGATACAAATTTTGATAAGCTTATATATTTGTACCCAACTTGCTATCAAGATTTGATTCGCAAGTTTTGTCTTCACCCAACCATCTGATGTGTAAATGGCAATGGAAAAGACCCTATAGATTGAGGTTTAAGGGAAAATTATGGGAAAGTCATCTCGAAACTCGGGATACTCTATTGCCATGTTTGAGAACCGGATGGTACTCAAAATGACACACGTGTCCCCCTATGACTTGAGAAACCTCCAAATCGTCTTCTCACAGCATACTTGTCGCTATCAGTGGCTATCTATAGTAAACCCCAAAAAGATGGAAAAGTTAAAAAACGATCTACCCTCTGGTAAACTAACATAACTATGGAAAGATCCACCATTTTTCATGGGAAAATCCACTATTTCTATGGTGATTTTCCACAGTTATGTTAGTTTACCAGAGGGCATACCATCTATACCAACTATCTATAGAAAATATCGGGAATATCTCATCTAAACCATCCTAGTGGCACAATGTTCGATCTTCTCAGGGGTTGCTAGTCCCATAGTCCCATAGTATGCCAAAAATGCCCAGTAACTGACTCAGTAAAAAATGCCATTTCTGGATAGTCCACAATAGATAACCACAAGGATCTAAAATATATGGAACTTCATTGATCAAATATATATATATATATATATTATATATATATATGTTATATATATACACATATTATATATATACATATTATATATATATATACATATTATATATATACATTTATATATATATATATATATATATACATATTATATATACATATATACATATTATATATACATATATACATATTATATATGTATATATATATAATATGTATATATTATATATATATATATGTAACGTACATATACAATCATGTGAAAATCAATGTTGACCCTTAGCCATACATCAAATGACATGTTCACCCTTTCAGCATGGCCCATAACATCAGGAGGATGGGATGGGTCGTAAAATCATACACATACTGTCTGGCTGGTGGTTTCAATCCCTCTGAAAAATGATGGAGTTCGTCAGTTGAGATGATTATTCCCAATATATGGAAAAATAAAATAAATGTTCCAAACCACCAACCAGTAAGTATGGAGAATCACCATGGGAACCATAGATCTTCAACATCCATTTTTCTGGGCAACAACGTCCAGGACGCAATGTTAAACTCCCAAAGAGTACATCTACATCTATGTATATGGCTGAAGCGCAATAATTCACCAAGCTGAAAAGTGAAACGTCATGTTGGAATAGTTGCCCCAATCCTAAATGAGGTTGTTAATTTTTTATCAATCTATCTAAATGTAGAGTACCTAATACCTATATCATCCTTATATCTATGTATATGTATGATGTGTATATATATATATATACACATATATATATATGTACACCCAGAAACGTACATCCTTTGAAATCTTCATAGTGTAAACAATTAAACATAGATATGCCCTCCCCCCCCCAAAAAAAAAAAAAACATATTATCTTAGCCCTATCTTCATGATTTTGTTCCAGTATGAAAAACGTGCAAGCTTCATCTAAATCTAGTTTACAGTGTTGCTGCATCTTAAAGACAAATCTGTTGCATCATTGCATAGTATATCCCATCGGCTCTCCATTGTTGTTTGGTAAAGATATTTTTTTTGCTTGTAAGAAAAAAAACACATTACCACTTTCTCCCATTATTGTGTATTTATATTTTCATTATAGCCCCTTATTAGCCGTTATATTCCAATTTTGGTAAGTACAGATATGATTTTGGTATTACAGTACATCCCATCATCTCTCCATAATCTCTACATTTTGGTAAACATCAAAAATTATTGATTGGTAAACATATGAAAACATCAAAATTGTGGCAACTATAGATATCATTTTGGTATTACAGTATATCCCATCATCTCAAATGTGTATATTCCATCAAAATAATTGGTAACTATAGCTTGTTAAAAACACAACATCGCCACTATCTCGAATAATTTTAATAGATTTCCATTCTAGCCCTTTTAACAGAAGCGGTGATATTCCAATTTTTGCTGTTTGCTGTCCCCTTTATGATCATCACATGCCATATTCCAATATATTGCAATGATCTTATTCCATTGCGTTGATTCCAATATTCCAATGATATTCCATTCGTGGTTTCTCCATCCATCATCCCCTCATCTCTCCATCATTGGCAAACATCAAAATGTTGCTAATTATATATATATATCATATATGTATATATATATTGTATATATATATATATATAGAGTGTATGTATATAGTGTATATAGTATATATATATAGTATATAAATATAGTATATAGATATCTCATTTTGGTGTTATATCCCATCAAAATTTTCTTGCGAGCTCTAGATTCGCGCCAGCTCAAAACCAAGGAAACCAACCAACCTCCCCGGCCCCGGCACATTCATGGCATGCTCGGCGATCCATAAGAGCTGTTCATCCTGGAACTGAAAACACATGGGGCATTTTTCCCATGGACTTCACATGATCAAAACGGATTTCCCTCTGGTAATTTAACATAGCTATGGAAAATCACCATTTTTCATGGGAAAATCCACTATAAATGGTGATTTTCCATAGTTATGTTAGTTTACCAGAGGGAAAACGGATTTCTTCATCGAAAATCTGGGGCGCTTTTTTTTGGCATCGAAAATCTGAGCGCCCAAATAGCGAAATGGTGAGATGGTGAGGTTTAAGCTTAAAAAAATTGGCGGTGTTAACATGAAGAATGGTGAAAAACCATCAAGACGCATATCAAAACCAGGGATTTCAGCGAACAAAAATGCGGTTTTCTGGGTCTGTCTGAAAATGTGATACCTCAAAATGACCATTTTTAGATGGAAAATGATGATCAATCAGTGACTTTGGGCCCCATTTCAGACAAACATAGTCAAACCCATTGCCCACATTTTCGCGATTCTTACGGATGTTCATCCCTGCAAGTGTGGGAAGAGGATATGTCTTTCGATCCATGGCCAAAAATTGTACAACAAAAACACCAGGATTTTTTTGAGCTCCGAATGTTTGACCCGTTGCCCCCGCAACATTTTAATGGTCATTGCTGGCTAGGAATTCACCATCCCCTTGGGGTATCTATCGGAGGATGTTTCGGTCCCATAGCGATTGTGGTTTGTAACACTAGCCCTATTGCATCCCAGGGAAGTTTGAGTGTTTTGAGTGTTTTCTAAAATGTTCCATACCCAAAAGGACATATCATAGTGTGATGCACGAAACTGCCAATAAAATTCGTTCCAATGTGATCATAGACCAAGACTAAAAATAGCAACACAACTCGTGAATTTATGGATCTGTAATCAGTAGTCACTTCGAATAATGTGTTTAAAATGTGTTCGATATAGCATGACTAGCATAGCCAATAATTGTCACTAATAGTCAGTCAATCATAGTCACTGGTGTTTGGTATACAGTCACTAATAATCACTACTAAATATAGTCAAACTAATCAAAAATGACCGCTAAAAAAACCATAACTACTTATGGCTGATAATATGCTACTTTACAAAAAAAAATAAAACTCACAATTTGTTAATCATCTGACTTATCACCAAAAATCCCTCATCACTAGTGGTTGGTATTTCACCAATAACTACACGTCGACATTTCGATCCGGCGCCTGTTGCGGGTGGATGTTCAGCTCCTGAATCGCCTTGCGTTTGAGACCATGAGGAACAGAGTATCAATGCTGGTTCTTCAAAAACATGGGGGTGGTAAATAAATGGTAAATCCATGGGGATTTCCATAGGGATTTCCATTGTTAATAATGGTTAATAATGGTTAATAATGGTTAATAATGGTTAATATATGGTTAATATACTATTAATATATGGCTAATATGAATTGTTATTATATGGTTAATGATGGTTTATATATATATATATGGTTGGTGGTTAATAATATTATCTGATGTTAATCATTACAGTAACCATGTATTAATATAACACTATTATGGTTAATAGTGATGTATATGATATACCGTATATATATATACTGGTTGGTGGTTTAAAAAACATCTTGAAAAATGATGGACTTCGTCAATGGGGTTGGGATGACATCCCATTTATGAAATGGAAAATAAAATTCATGTTTGAAACCACCAACCAATTATGAATGTTTACTATAATCATTGTCACTGGCTAGTGAATATGAAAAATAATTAGTCATGATTATTGATGATTAAGAAATGCTATCTCAATGGACTCAATTGAGACACAGTTTTTTATGTGTGGCTTTCAATCGATAATAAATGGTTGCTGGTGATTATTGATACGTATCACTGATGATAAATTATACATGATCATTCTCACATTGACATACATTGACTAGGATTATTTTGTTCATGAGGACTATAGCTGCAACGCAGTACACTCACGCAATGTCAACCCCAGATCAAGAGGGTCACAGAAAAAATTGATCAACCAGGGTCTATGAATCGGAGGTTGACGGTGTACTTGAAATGAATGGAAAGTACGGCACGGATTTCAAAATAAACGAACAGGTATTCGAGACTACCTGCCGGAAGGTTTTCCCTGGCCCGCCCGGCCATTTAAACATACGGAATCCAAGTCATTTAAACATACGGTAACTACATTTAAATATACGAACTGGTATTATGCGATTTTACTACATCACGTGTGTGGTCGGTAAAAAAAGAAAAGCTGAATGTTAGCTGCTGGCCAACAGCTCTCACAAAGGCATACGGCTTTCAAAAAGCCAAGAGTGAGTCAACATCTGCCATTCCCACTGGTGCCTTCCCCTTGGACTTCCAAGAGGCTTCCTCCTAGTTCACCAGCTTACTGGAGATGTTGATGTTGTTCCTTACTATGGTGAATGCTATACGTTGTATTCCCACTGCTTCACGAGTTTATACTGGATACAATACTCTCATATCGTGTAAGTATAATATATATATATGTATGTATGTATGTATGCATGCATGCATGCATGCATGCATGCATACATACATACATACATACTTACATACATACTTACATACATACATACATACATACAGCATATAATGAATATAAAAAATATATATGTATATTATACATACATATACATACATATATATATATTGTACTATATATGATGTATAGTATAGTATGGATGTGTATATATAATTATAATTATATAGATATATATGACATTATATGTTTGATTGAGATCCTTATGGCCGCAACGCATCCCTTCCAGCCTTCTGCTGCGCCAGCGGTAGGTGGGATAAATCCAATCCAGGCATGCCGTCTTCTCAGATTTCACCAAAAATATACGTGGCGTCTTTGTGTTTTTGGATCTCCGATTCGTTGGCTTCCAATCCTTTGGCTCTCAGATTGACGAAGTTTCGGGGGTGCCGCGATTTTTCAGGCGTTTTATGGAGGGATCTCAAGGCCGTTTCTGTCGCTTTCTGATCCAACAATCCAACCGACATCGAACCTGCCAATGTCTGCAGCGTGGACATGTTGGCTCAACCAGCACAAGAGGGATCCAACCAGTAAAATTCTGAGAACAGCAGTGAGATTTAAGTGAAATAAGCCAAGATATTGGGTTATGAGAGATATAAACATGTGATATAGGGATTTCACTTAAAATATTGGGATATTGAAGATCCACTTCAAATAAATGAAACATGTGGATCTCATCAAGATATTGGGATATCATCGAGATATAACCAGCCTTAATACTAACGGCTGGATCATTTATACGGGACTTTCCACGACTGCGGCTTTTCACGGGACCCCGAAATTGTCCAACGACTGCTCGTTTTTCACGGGAAACCAATTGTTTGAGGGTCCCCCCATTTTCCCATAGGATCCATGGTGCTGGTATATATGCTAACATTTGAGGTATATTAATGGTAAATGTTACCATATATATATATACCATACATGGATCCTGTGGCTTTAGGAAACCCTCACATGCCCCCGCCCAAGAAACATCTTCGATGAATCATCTCTAGAGCATTTTGTGGTCGTGGTTTGTTCACCAGGAGGCAGAACAACATCACCAAGCTTCGATACCAGGACCAGCCTCACTTCGATACCCTGCAAATATTGAAAGCCTGGTTAGTGTGTACCCCATGACTAGTCAAAGACTGAACTATTGTTGCACGTACTGTTAGTACTACCCTTCCAAGGTTGATCCAGATAAGATGCGAATTCAGATTTCTCAGCATCTGTGCTCTTCATGTTTTCGAGCCCCTCATCTACAGTCACCCTGTGGTATGGTACACTCAGCCCTTCCGCTTCTATACCCAGAGCACTCATCAAGGCTGGTAAGTCGGTTCCTTTCAGTGTACCCTCTGGAAGCAGTACTTCATAGTACTTCTACCATACTGAATCCTGATATCAGGGACTATCATCGTCCGTGCCGCGACAATCCCTCCACTACCGGAGTCTAATCACCACTCTAGAACAATCACGTGGAAGTGCAGTTCCAGTTATAAGATGTTATAAGTTATAAGTGGATATATGGAGGTTTCCTAAAATAGGGGTGCCCCCAAATCATCCATTTTAGTAGGGTGTTCCATTGTAAACCATCTATTTTGGGGTACCCCCATTTATGGAAACCCCCATATATTGTAATTAACTACAGTTATACCATGTTATACCCATTTGTAACCCCAATGGCACCCCCAACCATTGAGGGTGGCTTTGCCACTGGTCAATGCTCCGCGGCTCCGCGTCTCTTTCTGAATCGAACACGGTCCGGTCGGGTCGGACCCAACGATGCACGGTCTGTCAGACCCAGAGCACTTTGACTCTGCGGCCGGCCCTGAGGGGCCCAGACTGCTGATCTCTATGGACCTTGAAATCCCCGAAAAATGAGTCCTGTGCCTCGCCATTCTGCGCAGGACGCGCCCTGAAACATTGCCACGATGTTTGACCGACATCCAGTACGTTTAACAACCCTACTGGATTACCACAATGGATTATAATGATTGTAATATATCATGGGTCATTAAATGTCCCCATTGAACATCACCCAACCATTAGGTATATGGTCTATAATGGCTACTTTTTTCGGTGATGTCCAATATTCCCAAAATGGGACAGGCAAACCAACCCCTGTATATCATCCCTATATCAGGTACTCCCTCAATACACATCATGCGTCCAGTCATCACCTCTGTCCCTCAGGCAGCATTCAAACAATGTGCCTCCGTCGGGTTGGTCCCCCAGATGGCATCAGCTGGCCCGGTGCTACCCTGTGCTACTCGGTGACTTCCTGGTGATTTGTTCCTCTCCCTGTTCAAAGTTGTACCTTTCGTGGGATACACTCTACCCTCTGGTAATTTAACGTAGCGATTGAAAATGGCCATTTTTAATGGGAAATTCCACTATGTGGTATTTTCAATAGCTATGTTAAATTACCAGAGGGTACATCAACCCTTGAAAGACCAAGAACAGAATCCAACTGTATGGCGATATCAGAATGTTGGTAAACAATAAACCATCCCCCAGTCATCACCATAATCATAAATAGTTGGTATGTTTACCATTCCCAAATGGGTGATGTTTTTATTGTTTTAACATGTTTTAACCACATTACTATCATCCATATACAGAAAATGAACCATCTCTTTTCTCTACATTCAGGCGGGGGAAATCAGGAGAGGTGACCCGCTCGGACATTTCCGAGCGAAAGATCCACTGGAAATGGGCAATTGTATCTGGTTGGTGGTTAAACCATCCATCTTGAAAAATATGAGTCAATGGGAAGGATTATCCCATATATATTATGGAAAATAAAATTCATCTTCCAAACCACCAACCACCAATCAGAACATGTCTGAGGACTTTGCATGAAAACTGTTGGGAATGTCACTAACAACCATTGATGTATCATGGATTATCAACCATTCATTGTATCATGTTTTTGTTATGCCCGGTATATGGCATTATATTGACAAAAAGAAATAAGAATCCATATACTGTTATCAATCACCCCATGTTTGATGGTTTATACTTTATACATCAAAATGGTGATGTTTCCTTGGGGATGGTGCGTACGTTTATGGCATTGTTTTAACCAAAAAATCACAAGAATCATGGATTCTCATGCCATATACCCTCTGGTAAACTAACGTAACCATGGAAAGATCCACCATTTTTCATGGGTAAATCCACTATTTCTATGGCCATTTTCCATGTCGCTTTTTGTATGTTTACCAGAGGGTACCGGGTATATACCCGGTATATCGTGAATCTCCAGCTGGGCTCCAAATCCTCCACGGGAATCCCCAGCACCTTGGCTTGCAGGGCCTCAAAGGTCTGTTGCCATAGGAGGCCTTGACCTTGGACATCGCTTTGGCAGTTTTTTTTGGGGAAAAATGTTTCTTTTAACCAGCAAATATCTATGTCTATATATATATATATGTAATGATAAAAATATATGGGTTTAAGGAACAAAGAGAGAGGCAATGGAGATAACTAGCAGATCACTAGCAGATGTTTGTTGTTTTCGAAATGGCGAGATAGGTAGAGATCAGCAAGAGACATCTTGACATTAGCAGATGTTTGTTGATAGAAAGATCCACCATGCTATTAATAGATAAACCATGGCAAACTAGTCATAGCCAGATGTTGGACTTGTTAATGGTGTTTTATGGGATATTAATGGGATATTAGTGGTATATTAATGGGATCACAATGGGATAGCCAACTTTTAGGTCCAGGACTTTTCACGGCCTAACGGCGGCCACACAGAGTTGATCAAAACCAAAGGCGGTGGTGGAAACTCGACATGTTTTTCCCAGACATCTTGAGACATCTTTCCACGTCAACATATTGCTGGTGATATCTCATGACAACTCCTTTATGTTTGGTAAACCTCCGCATTTTGTTGCTCATAGTCCAGATAAATACACTTAGAAATCAGATTTTGTCAATGTTTGATGCTTTTCAGACAATAAAAGTCATGAGAAGTGTCTTCCTCATTGTTCACTCTCTGATCAATATTTGATAAGTTGTGCTTGAACAATAAAACATAATCAGCAATCACTATCAAATAATGAAATATACCAATGGCAAAACTGATACCACTACATATGACTATCACCAAAAAAACAAAGCAGTTTGAATTTAAATAAGCAGCACCTTTATATAAAATAATTACTTAAACAAGTGAACCTATCAAGTAATGGGGTAAAGACCCAAGGCCATAAATCATCCCCAACATCACTACCTCACTATCTTTATGGGTGGTAACTATCATCCCTAGTCATCTGCAATGGTAACTATCTACCCCACCAGACCAGGGCCTCGCGGTTTATGAGGGGGAATCAGCCAACTGACACTGAAGGCAGATATTTTTTGGATCAAAAAACGGATTCCTGACACCCTGTTCAATCCCATAGGATCCATGTATGGTATATATGCTAACATTTGGGGGTATATTGATGGTAAATGTTACCATATATAGCACACATGGATCCTATGGGAATACTATTGTCGATTCTGTAGAGCAAGCCATAACTTTGGAGATACGTTAGAAGTTGGCAGTGGTGATCTCAAGAGAAGGACACCGGCAGTTCCCACTGGGCCCTGGCGTGCGCTACGGAGCCAGCTGCCGGCACGACGTTGGCAGTCGCCCGTGAGGCCCTAGCGACGCCAGAGACGTTGTTCAGCAGAAAAAAAATCTGCAAAAAATGGTGATGTTAGATGGTTTAGTATGGTTTAGTATGGTTTAACATGGTTTAATCTGGTTTAATATGATTTAATCTGGTTTCATACGGTTGACTCTAAAATGTGGGATGGAAAATGATGAAAAACTTGGATGGTTTACCATCAATTGATGGTGATTTTGCTGGATTTACCATCTGGTAAACCAACAAAACTATGGAAATCCATGGTTACACATCCTGGATTGTCCATATCTATATATTTTGTGTTGGTTTATAGGAAAAACCAACCAATTATTCAAGGGTCTACAACATGTAACCCCGGCCAATGATCGGAGATTTCTGACGCGGCTTTCTGGGCGAATCGCCAACGAAGCAATGTGATGATCCTACATGATCCTACATGCAAACCAACTATGTTTTAATATGTTTTAATATACCTAGATATAATATATATCTATATATATATAATGTATCTATATATATAATATATCTATATATAATATACCTATATATAATATAATATACCTATACCTAAATATAAGATACCTATATATATATATAATATACCTATATATATATATAATATACCTATATATATAATATACCTAGATGTTTTGACATGTTTCAATATGTTCTAATGATCACCTACATGCTACAGCAGACTTGGGATTTTCCACCAAGTCACATTTGAATCTTTCGCAAGCAGGGTGGTTTTTGGGGTGTAGCCGCTGGCAAGAAATTGATCCATGCACCCGTTTCAACTGTTCCTTTACCATCCTTTACCCACATACATTTACTGGTTGGTGGTTGACCTACCCCTCTGAAAAATATGAAAGTCAGTTTGGATGATGACATTCCCAATATATGGAAAAATAGAATTGAATAATTCATGTTCCAAACCACCAACCAGTTTACTATATCCTGATTTTTCCCGCCTTTCCAAGATTGGACCTACTTGGATATGGAGAATGGTGTATGGAAAACAAACCATGCTTGGCTCACCCGGCTACCGACAGAGTGTGTTCTTCACTAACCTTTACCGTGACCTTTACCCAATCATTACCAGCTTCTTTAAATATACGTACGTGTTATGTGTATAGATGTCGCCAGACATATATACTACATACATGACCTCACGACCACTACACGGATACAGTATATCAGTAGAATAATGTCATATACTGTTGGTAAAGCAATAAAAATAGTAATAACTCCCCAATTTTACAATGTGTATGGCTGCCATAAACCATCAAAATATGTGCGTTGCATGGATCGCAGCATACTTGTTTATCTGTTTGTTGTACATCATAAATATATACATGACCTTATGACCACTACAGTATCTATTAATAACTATTTTTGAATATTTCTATAAACTGACTATATATTATACATATAGCACTATACTATAAATCTACTATATATTCCCTATGGTAAATTCACAGTTGGACCCTGAAAATAACCAAGTTTTAGTGCTTTCACTCATCTTCCAACCCCGACTCATGCAGCCTCCAAGGCAGTGACCGCACCCGCGAAATCGTTGACTTCTAAACCTCCGAGGGAAAGGCACGGAAACTCACGGGCCCGCGTTTCGAAATGGTAAATATCAATCATGGCAATAAGAAATTCATAGAAATGGGCACTTCAATGGGAAGATCATTGAACTAAATGGGGGATGGCCGCCCTTTTTGCTATGTTACCGGAGGGCAACTCAGAAAACTGCGTTAAAAGATGTGACAAAAACCGGACCTGTTCACCAACAAACACCGGACCTGTTCTAGCTGAGAAACCAAACATGGGATTGGACCATATGCCAGGAGATGGACCTGCCGACCTAACCCCATCACCTGATGACATACATGTGAACATTGGGGAGCAGCAAGGTGCGCTCGTGGATCAGCGATAAAAACAGCAAACGCTTACAGGTTACCTACGCTTACTAGTGGCTACTGTGGTTGTGTCAGACCTTGTTTCACCATCGGACTGTATCATGCTGTCGACATCCCAGAAAAAATGGATGTTTGCCGTTTGCATAGCTGTGGAAAACCACCATTTTCAATAGCTAAATCCTCTACACATTGGTAATTTTCCACACCTTCAATTACGAGAGGGTAGTCCAAACAAGAACCCACAGTGTTCCCAAACGGGTCAGACTCAAACTGTTCCCCTCTTTTTTAGAGCCATCTTGGTAGGTAGTGGTACCCCAATATCTCCAATAACTGGGGCAAACAAACGATGGCTGACCAGACATCTCAAATTTTGGTTCAAGGATCTGGATAAATTGTCATAGTACACTGATCTGAAAAGTTCGGCCATTCATGATTTCCCTTAACCATCATTTCAGGGTTCGGTCGCGACCTGAAGTCGCGATCAAATAGATCTTGAATGATGTTTGATTCTTTTTTTTTCGGTCCCTTACCCATTTCATATCAGTTGATCTCATATCTGTTGTTTGATAATTTCAGGCCATCTGCAAAAAATAAGTTCGTGAATGGGGATGATCATCCCATTTCCAGCCTTTGGCATAAAAAACAGAGGATATATTGACGAAAACACCAAGCAAGTGATCATTTGCTTGGTGATTGATGTCCAAACAGTGCACAAGATTCCACTCCAAGTTTGATTTGCTTGGTGAACATTCATCCCCGTTAGCAAGTGAGTCCAGTTCACCCCAGTGGATGGAAGGTTGCTGTAAGCCCATAACCAGGCTTATAGCCTACTGGCATGTTTGTACTTTGGGATTAGATATGGATTGGTTTATCCATTATATTGGGATTCTAAATAAGGGACAATGGATAAATCCACCAGCTGGAGCCTTCTCTGTTTTTTTTCGATCATGTTCTTTTGTCCACGCCAAGTTGCGCTTGGCCGCCAGCGTCAGCGTGGCCAAGTTGCGCTCCACGTCGCTGCTCTTTTCGCTCACTTCGGCCTAAAGCCGTGGTCCACGCGCGCGTGGCGCCACGGATATGGGTGGGATTGATGGAATAATATACGTCAAGAACGGGATAATGTCATATAATACCACAACGCTTAATCCCAATCAATGGTGATACGACGGTTAATGATGATTAATGTCAAATTCCAATAGTATGATATAATGGTGATAATAGTACTGTAATATAATAGTGATAAATGGTGATATAGTGGTGATGTAATGATATGTTGTATTATAAAAGTATACCTGTAATAAAATAATTAATGATGATTAGTAGTAATATTACCTCCTGTAAACTAACAGTTCGATGTGGAGAATCCACAATTTCTAGAATTCACTACATGATTCATGGGATTCTTATTTTGTAATGTGGTTAAAACCACAATAAACTATCCCCCAGTCATCACTATAAATAGGTAGTATAAACTGTATCCGCCGATCCCTGCTTAGCCTTGGCCTAGGCGGGGCGGCGCCCGGGATCACCGCAGGTGTGCGGCTTTGGCCTGCTAGGACCTCGGCCTGCACGGTCCACCAGGACACGCAACCCTGCGTCTGGCCATGTCGCCATAATCCATTTAGACGGTTTCAAAACCGCCGCGAAGCACGGTCCACCAGGACACGCAACCCCCGTGGGCCTTTAGCGCTTTGCCACTGCCTTCCCAAGTCACCGCAAAGCACGTTGCCCTGCAGCGGCAGCCCTTTGCCAGCGCCTGGCCATGTCGCCATAGTCCATTTAAACGGTTCCAAACCGCGATGCACGGTCCACCAGGACACGCAGCCCTGCCGTGGGCCTTTAGCGCTTTGCCACTGCCTTCCGAAGTCACCGCAAAGCACGTTGCCCTGCAGCGGCAGCCCTTTGCCAGCGCCTGGCCATGTCGCCATAGTCCATTTAAACGGTTCCAAAACCGCCGCGAAGCACGGTCCACCAGGACACGCAACCCTGCCGTGGGCCTTTAGCGCCAAGTCACCGCAAAGCACGCTGCCCTGCAGCGGCAGCCCTTTGCCCCCACCTGGCCATGTCGGCATAGTCCATTTCGAGGGTTTCAAAACCCCCGCGAAGCACGGTCCACCAGGACACGAAACTTTGCCGTGGGCCTATAATGCTTTGCCAATGCCTTCCCAGGTCACCGCAAAGGACCACAGCTCCAGCAAAGAGAGATTGATCTCAGCCCAAGTTGCCAAAAACTAGCAAATTGCAGTAAATCAGCCCCGTAGCCAAATTAAGCCTTTGCTGCTCCCTCCAACATTTGCCAAACGAATGGCATCCTGCCGCATGAAACAAAAGGACATCAACTGCAACACAAGCCCCTGCATGTTACATGGGCTTCCACTGAACTTTATCATGCATACTGCTTCTAGGTGCACCTTCAAAAACCCTGAACAACAACTATACCAAAGGTGAAGGTCGGTCAGCAGCCGTCCCTGAAATCTCCGACACTCGGATTTGTCGGCGAACCTTATCTCCGTCACCTCCAAGCGGCCCCACCTCGCAGATTTTGAATCCACAGCACCCAAAGCTGTCCGCAGGTAGGTGCTTCAGCTCCAGCAATTCAAAAGTCGCCTTGGGGAATGTCGATGCGTCGGGGTGGCCCACCAAGATTCGGAGGGTTGACCTCAGCCACAGCTCGGCACGGAATTAAACAAAACCCCAAATACGCATAACACGCTGAAGGGCATACAACCCCCTTGCATTCACATACATAATCCGGACCCTTAACCCTTAAATCTTCCCACACCCCAGTCCTAAGCCCTAAGAATCCTTCACTAAACTCGCACACCCATTTTCCAAAATAGATTCCCCACCGGTCAATCTGCCAATGCACAAGGCACTGCGGAGCTTCGCGCTTCCTCTTGCCCTGAAGCAAGTTCAGCGCAAGTTCGCGAGACGAAAGCCCTGCAATCACTTGCCCCTCGGGGATGGCGCCAGTGGCATTGCGCCACGCATCCCTCAGTTCGCAGCCCTGTAGCTCGACGAGAGAGTCAAGCTGCGGCACCTCCCGAGGCATGCCGTTGAACTTGACGAGGACCTGCGTCACCTCACCCTCGGCTTCCTGGCCACTCACCACCACTTTGAATGCCGGGTACTTGCCTCACAGAAGGATCAAGCCCCAACTCTAGCTTTCTGTAGCCACAACATATTTGCACATGGAGGTTGGCCCCCGATAAAGATGAAGATAATAAGCGCGTAATCATGCACAATAGATTATCGAGGGCCAAATGTGGCCTCCAGTATATTTGCACAAGGAAGTTGGCCCCCAATAGAACAAGAAATCCATATGCCATCCATTTCAATAGCCTTGAATATGCACGAAAGATTATCCAACGCCAAAAGGCGGATCCAATATACTGTCACATGGAAGTTGGGCCCTGATAAGACAAGGAAATGGCAGATGCAATATGTCAGTGACCTTGGATATGCTTTTGTATACCCATAAACATGGATTGGGCCCCAATAAAACAAGAAAATCATAGATGCCATCCATTTTAGTGATCTTCGCCCTGCTTCTTTCTATCCATAAACATGGAGATAATATCCGTACAAGCATATACAAAAGACTATCGAGGGCCAAAGGCTGGTCCAATCTATTTGCAAGTCGAGGTTGGCCCCCGATAAAACAGGCCTTCATTTGATAGCCACTTGAATTAAACAAACACTACATAGATTGTGGTGAGAACATGTCCCAGCTTGCCTGAAACTTCAAGTCTCCCAAAGATATGGCAAAGCAGTTCCACCTCCCATTGATATGTCGTTGCATCTTGTCAATGTCTAGACCCCCACACTCTTCGGGCTTGCACAACTTGCGCTGCGCTTGTTGGCCTATGTGAGTCCATGACAAACGTATGAAACAAGGGTTGCAAAGAATAAAGCATAATATCTTCGCCATGGTATTTTTGTCGGTTATACTATTTCCATATCGCATTAGCAGACCATGACCATGACTGTCCAACACTAGGCCCCAGAACTCTTGGGCATTGTCACAAACCAGTGACGCCCAGCATCGTGAACATCAAACCTTCCTACCTTACTCCAGAGATTCCAGTAAAGTCTTCTAGACTGCAACCCAACATGGCCATTTCCCCATTCCCATAAGATGCCACCCAAGTCGCCAACCGCGTGCCCACAGATGTAGGTGACACGAGCTACGGTGTTCACCAGGCTCAACGGCAACGGCTGCATCCGCGCAAGTGTAGACAGCGGCGTCAGCGACGGCGTCTGGCCACCAGCACTGCTTTCGGCACTCGCAGCTGCAGGCCCCTTGGCTTTCGTGAATCTGCCCATGGTGCACTAGCCAAATTTCTGGGGTGATCCTCGAGCCTGGTCGCTCCAGACATGCGATCCGTACCCAAAACCCAATGGCTAAAACGTCCCCCCAACCCTCTGCTTCTTGTAGCGATGTTTCACTCACATGACAAACCATTGCACCATACCTTCATGATGGTTGCTTCCCCGGAATATCCACATCTCCACCTAAAAAGGCAACAATCTCCACACTTCATGGCTTGTACCAAATGAGTCACACAGCTTTCATTTCACACCAGCTCTCATCGGCATGGTCTTCCGACAGCTTATCGCAGGAAAACCTTAATATGAGCCCTATATTATCATGACTTATGGATAGCTATGAATGTCATGTTGACATACATTGACCATCTAGCTATTCCAATCCCCAAAACAATCAGATTACGACAGTCGACTTCTTTTTTTCCCATTGGTTTACGTTACCCCGTTGGCGTAAAGCATCATCTTCCTATGGAATCCCATGTTTCCGATCATTTCCCTATGGTGTTGATCTAAAGGCATTGTTGTATGTACCTTTATTAGAAGTTCTCCGCAACATATGGCGTGATTGCTATGTCTTTACCCCCACTCTTGCAACACCAATTCCGCACAGAACTCTTCTTGTGTGTCGTGTCACGGACATCGCTCCAAAGCAAGCTGTACGCTGACATGGACCATTCATCCTTGCCACAACAGGCAGACGACACTGCCCCCGCTTCTGAAATATCCAAGTACTGCCAGCATGCACCACGAAACATAATGCAGCCAAAAAAGCTTCAGAAAGGCTTCAAAAGCTTCAGCCACCAGAAGCCACATTTCCGTTTCTGAATTAAAAAGCCACCAGCGCAAGTTCTCCAACCCTGTAGCAAAAGCATGCACTTGCAAGGGTCGTGCTGAAACATTTCGATAAGACAAATCTCTTATCTTTCTTTGGCCACAGCCTGATTACATCCAACACCTGCAGACCCAAAGCTCGCAAGGCCTTTCCTGCTTTTCATCTGAAGCAGGCCTTGTCATGACAGAAACCTTTTGTAGGCCTTGAAACAAACTCAGCGCCTGGACATACCCAGGCCGAATTCATGGTAATCAGCGGCAATAGGCAAATGCCTGTTGTTGTTTTTTTTGCTACCCTAAAAAATGTGCAGTCATCAGATTGAATGCCCGCTGTGCCCCACCATCATCCCGCAGCACCAATCAGCTACGCCACAGGGTCAATCCATGCGCTTGCCCGAAGCCGGCTCAGGATCATCAGGCACGGCTTCTTCACGGCAAGCTGTGACCTTGCTCGCCTCTGCTCGCACTCCTCAGTGATTAGTGACCCACGACCAATCCCCAGCTTGGCCGCTAAAACCCAACCCATATTTATCCAGGGCCAAACCCCCCACAGGTTATGGTTTCGGATTCATTTGGCCCTTGGTAAGTTGAGCTCCAACCATGAAGCGTCCCCATTTTGCCGTTAATCATTAAACCCATATTTATCCAGGGCCAAATCCCCCAGAGAGGTTATGGTTTCGGGTCCATTTGGCCCTTGATAAGTTGAACTCCGACCATGCACCGCTCGGACCCAATAAAACAGTTATCCAAGACAAAACCCTCTGGGTTTCATTTGGCCCTCGATAAATTTGCCCCCGCCCCACATCACGGAAATGCACCCAGTTTGCCAAGATTCCCAAAACTGCCATCTCAGTGAATCGACCCCATGTTCTGCGACGCTTTGCACCCTTCCCCCCCGCAGGGCAAGTCTCGAGCAGGCGTGAGGCCAAGTGCATCGCCGATCCCACCCTTGTTGCCGACTCCTTCAAGCGAGCACGGCCCTTAGCTGACCAGCAATGCACCCTACACCCTTCTTACAGGCCCCAAAACGCAATTTTGCCCGGTCATTTTCTTCTTCAAACGTTAACGAAACGTCCGCACTACGTTTTCCACAGTTCCCGCTCAACCACAACTTTATCTCTCTGCATGCATGCGCACACCTTCAGAAGGCCTCAGACCTTATGGTTGGACCTAGATACAATCAGAAGTTGCATGACCCCCAAAAAGCAATTTTGAGATTCGTACTCAATTCCGCACAGTTCCCCACCAACCAGAACCATGCCCGCAGCACATCCGATGCCAAGGCACATCACTTTCACTCTGCAAGTCCTGCGAAGTCAAAAACTTGACTGTGTGACCAGCGCCCTGGACAGTCGCGACAAACATAGGCGGCCTTCCTCGTCTTCACGGCGACAAGGTCCCGGAGCAAATCCTTTACCTCTTTCAACTCGGCCTCCAACTTGTCAAAGGCCGCCCAGTGTGCGGCCAGGAATTCGGCTGTAAAGGCCATCGCTGAAAGTTGTGGAAGTTGGAACAATGCCCTTCCCAGACAGTTGTCGCTTTGAGCCAAAGGGAACAAAAATACACAGTTGTATACAATTATTTGGTACATGGATGACTTGGGCTAGTGGGTTTCACCAAGCCCGTTGGAAGAACAAGGAAAACAACAGATGGTCCTCATTCATTTCGTCAAACTGCAATATATTTGATCAATGTTCGGGCATCCCCATTTCTGGTCCGAATGCTGGTGGTAGATGGTTTTAGTCACAAGTGAAACCCGAAGAGGGTGGTTTCCCGCGATGTAGGAATTTGTGGGTGTAGGATCAAGTTCTCTGCCGCAGCCATGTGTCACCACGAAGAATGGTTCTAGCACCATTTTCAACGGGTTGATGGTTTCATGTGCTTTTTTTCCATGATTTCCCCTCCATATTTCAAATAAATTCATCAAATAAACTATTTAGTTTGGCAGAAAGAGTCAACGTTGGGCTGGGCCACAGCCTGTGCGCAGAGTCGAGTGTTACGACCCCGCAGTTGATAGCGACACTTTGCTTACATTTGGAGTAGTTCTAGTATGTAAGGGTGGGACATATGATGATACACCCGGAATACACCCTCCCAAATATATTCCTGGAGATAGAAGGCAAATGGCAAATATCTTTGCATATCTTTGCCATGCGCCTCGAGCCCCACATAAACCACCAAATCGCCCAACATGGGCCCAAGTGAGACCCCAAGTTGCCCAACATTGGACCCACATAGCCACAAAACAGCCTTAGAAAATATCCCCAACCGAAAAGTTTTGGGTTGGGGCTATTTTTTTCCCCCCCCCGAGACCTCCATGGAGCCCCACATAAACCACCAAATCGCCCAACATGGGCCCAAGTTGGACCCTAAGTTGCCCAACATAGGACCCACATAGGACCCACATAGGACCCACATAGGACCCACATAGGACCCACATAGGACCCACATAGCCCCAAAACGGCCCTAGAAAATAACTGCAACCGAAAAGTTTTCGGTTGGGGTTATTTTTCCACCCCCCGAGACCTCCGCTCCACACATATTATAAACCACCAAATCGCCCAACATGGGCACGAGTTGGACCCCAAAGGAGCCATGGACATCGCAAAGGAGCCACTTTATGCGAGAATTTAGAAGGAAAATGCCAGCACTCTAATCAAGCACCGGCCTTTACTCTTACTGTAAGAACCCCTCAGTGTGGAGCACAAATAACTATTTGGGGAACAATAGTGGTAAACCCAATAATTTTAAAAAAGTCGAGGGTGGCTTATTACACCCCTTGTATGGTGATCTTGGGGATTCTCTAAAATTGACGTTACCAAGCTAAATATCAAACCAAGGGATTAGGAAAATGATATCATCCACCCAAATCAAATTAAATAGAAGGATATAACCGCTAGGTACGAACACCTGGATGACAAAATCACTACATACCACAAAACTGGTGACATCGCCTCAAACCCATTGGGACACAAACATAAACAATGGCGCCAGTGTTCCAATCTTGCAACTGTTATAGCTGTTATCAACAAGCTAAACAGCAAACAAGCTAAACAGTAAGTGGCCCAGCAACCAACCCAAGTTGGATAGCCAATTCATGTTCATGTAGAAAGCAGGACATATATATCTGAGGAACAGCCATCATGGTATTTGAACATTCATTAAAAACAGCTCCATCAAAAACCGAGAGCAATTGTACGTGCCCTGCCTGCAAAGACACCACACAGGTAGAGGTGGCCCGGTCGCCCCAGGACCCTTGGTTGAAATAAATGGGTAGTTAGCTAAACCGGACCCTGTTGGACGTATATCCCAACATTACCGCATCAAATATCATAACTGCATATGGCTATCGGATGGTATGGTCTGATGAAAGTTTCAGTCCCATGCATCAATTATCAATAGACATTTGAATGTTACACCCATCCCATTTCAGGGGCAAATCAGATGCTACCCTTGAACAGTACGAACATTGGCCGACAAAGTCATGGGCACATTGTAGGAGTATGTTATATGTTGTCTGCTTCCTTTTTGTCCGATACGGGCAAAAAAAGGTGTCTCTCGAAAAGAGAACCCAGAAAAATAGTGCACATTCATGTGCATATATACCATTACTGAATGATCTTGGAAAAAAGGGCCTTGGTGTCATAAAGTCCGTGACGATAAAAAATTTGTTTGTGCATTGCATCCCACTTGTGAAGGCTTAACTCGCCATTTCTTTTCGTTGTTGACTTGTCATTATTCATGGCAAACAAATACATATTTACAGGTGAGAATGCGTTTTTTTGCTTGAAATCGCTTTCCGCCAGTTCCCACGGTTCTGCCTCCCAGCAGATCTGCCAGAGATGTTCTCCGGCCAGAATGGACCACAGTGACACCTGGGCTGAAGACGGATTTCTTCTGGATCGGGCTCATGTTCACTCTGTGATCGGATTCGTGATCGTTCTGACTTACTGTGATTATTTAACCTGTATAAACTTTGTAAAGCTCATATGAGACAGAAAAGTATTTATGCTATGCTGCTATGTCGTCGATACCGAAACCTTTGCTAATATATGATGGAACACATCGATACCAAAAGCCTCGGATCACCCGTGGCAGTTTTTCTGTCGCTCGGATCGGGCTAAGCTCTGCAACGCCAGGGTCCGGAGGCAATCCGGTTTGACACTCCGTGCTGGGTGGCTGCCATGCGGCTCTACTTGTCAATCCCAAAGGGGGTCAAATGGAGGACACACTTGGGTTGCAAAAAAAATGCAGGGGTGAATGACTTCAAGACTTAAGAGCCCTATGTGGCCTTGCCAGGCTGCTCCGAGTGAAATATCCCTTCGGATTTCCTATCCAATGCCCCGGAGGTATTCCCAATATATGTTCAATGAGTCCTGCTGCCAACGGTGAGTAGGATGCTAAAATTCAAATGGCACTTGGTTGATTGGGTCACTGCCCCAGCAATTGAAAATCGCTTTGGTGGTGAATTTTGCAGCTGTCTTGCTAAATCACCGGCTTGGAATCAGGAACATCACTGCAAAACAAGTGTCGCCATCTTCGCAGGGACTATGATTTGTTTGGCTGTGAACAAAGACACTGCATATGGCCCTAAGGTCATGCTCTCAGAATCAAACTTCAGCAACCATACGGCTTTGACCTGCAGCGCGGGCATTTGTCTGGACCCCACTTGCAAGGAATTAATGGCGCCCTTGGCGAGGATCATGCGGCAACCCTGCATGGCATTGAAGGACAATTTCAACAATATGATACAATGAGATGAGTCGAGCATTCAGGCAAACATTGCAAAGCAAGAAGGCCAAGACACCTGTCCCATGTTCAGCGCCATCTTGAGTAATTCGCACTGCCCTTCGTCACTTGGTTGGAAACCTTGCGCTGCCGCCGGTGCCGTCAATGTCGCCGGGGGCTTCTCCGAGGACCACCCACCATGGGACTGAATTTTCTTGGCACCGGTCTTTTGGATCGCTTCGGCCACCGTCATCAAGGCCGACGCAGTCTTCCCTTCCAACAATGACACTTGGTGCACATAGGGCTCTGTGAGGGCGAAAGAGAAGATGCCACCGACCTCCAACTAGCCTTTTCCCTTTGCACTGTACCGAATGGTGTATAGAAAGGTACCAGGAGACACCTTCGTTCCATGCTCAGCATCTTCAGTGCAGCGCATGGACATTTTGCCATCCTCAAACTTCCACACGATCTTCTTGCCAGCCACGTTGTCGTTGGAAAAAAACGCCTTGGTCTCTTTGACCTCTGGTTCCTTGGGAGGGGTGGGCAGTGCCTCTACACTGACCATATCCTTCTTCTCCGGCGTGACCACATCCTTCTTCTCGATGGTCTTGGTCTCATGTGGAGGCAATGGTGGGGCAATAGTAGGAGCTTCGGTCACGGTGGCTACGGCATTCTTCGCGGCGACGGGGAAGGATAGAGACTGTTGCTTCATCCTCTTGCCGTCGGGCTCAGCAGACCCGAATCTGTAGGGGGCCCCAAAGTTCAATGTGATAAGTGCTTTCTCAGCGATGCCCTGCCTGCATTGGGGATGATTTTCAAGACATGTCAAATAAAAGAATAGAGCAACAAAGGGAGGACAATCCCACAACAGTTGGTCTTGGAGTTTCGTAAATAGAATCAAGATGCAGCAAAATAGCCTATGTGTACTTTGTTGGGGGTACAGTGGACATTATATATTCTCATTATTTAGAAGCACTCGGATCTAATTATTTATTTGGCTATCAATCTATATATTTAGTACAATATTATATATATATACAGCTATACAACGTTATATATAGCTCATGAGAATTATGAAAGGCGTGGTTTGGGATTGATGACTCCCCACAACGCATGTGAGCCATTTGAAGTAGGTCGATGTGCTGATTGGATGTTCTCACGACCAATTCCAAGACATTGTCATTGGCACCCTTGGACGGATCCAGGCGCAAATAAGCATTCGGTGACTTCTTGCCGTGTTCAAGGCAATGTCCGGCATATCCCGCCAGCAATGCAAACATCGAGCTGGCAGCGCCATTCTGAGCAACAGGGGAAACCTCTGCAAGCTTGTCTGCAAAATCCTGGGCTTGGCGCTCATTCAAGAAGTAGGCCAAAGCAGAAAGCAGATCGACTGCTGAAGAGCAAGGTACTTGCCACGCAGATTGTGTCTGACTCCCTGCCAAGACCGGGGCACCGGGCACGGGCAGAAAAGATGTAAACAACGAAACGATCTGAGGAAGATTCCAAGAAGGACATGGAATCACAAAATATGACATGAGGAATGGCCAACTTCCACTTGTGTTTCCCGTTCCACCAAAACCGACCCTATAGCTTCAAAACGAACTCCCCTAACCCTGGTCTCCTGAAAGCTCGCTCTGCTTGAAGGGCCTTTCCTTTCTCTGTGCTCACCAAGCTCAAGCCATATTTTTCAAGCTCTTCTGCCAGAAGCTGGGCTACCTTCTCGTGCAAGCCATCCACCAAGCGGTCCACTTCTGCCCGCCATGATGAAGAATCCAAAAGGGCAACGTCACGGAGCTCCAACAGTTGGTCCGACAGAGGTGGTCCCTGAACAAAGCGGAATTGCAAATCATCTGCTCTAGTGCGCTTCCGGGTTCCTGATGCCTCCAGGCACTTCTTTGCTTCTTCATGCTTCATCCTCGTCAGCATTTTGACCAAGAGCTCTTCTCCATGTCGATAGTTGTGAGTCGGCACCTCATAGTAGGCCAACACCCTCAGCCCACCCGTGCGGCATGCGGTCACTTGGCCAGGGTGAGCAGTACGCGAGAGGATCACACATCGGCTTGCCGTTTCAGAATGGCACAGTTGCTGAAGCAACTTTGTGCCCTGAGCAATTGGCCTTGCAAAAGGCCACAGGTTCTTCACGTACCTCCCGCTGCCGCCCAAAGAAGCCGCACCAGGATCTGCCACATCTGGACCACTTGCTCTTGCCACACGGAGTGGCGAGATGCATGCGAAAGTGGTACCCAGTATCCCTTTGCCCTGTCCTCACAGGTCTCTGGAAGTCTAGTCCAAAAAAGTCCGAGACCTGCTTGGGCAATTTCAAATGAAAGTCCTTTGCTCTATGTCACTATGTCCATCCACCTTTATAAAACTGACATGATTCAATGTTTTGAGGTAAAGCCCCCGGGAAAGCGTTATATTTACCTGAATTGACCAATGTCACACATTGGGATATTTGAAAGGGATTCGCTCCATTAGTTCCAGCGCAAAAATCGTCAGCCAAGGAACAAGAGGTACATCGGCTTTTTGCAAAGCCTTCTTCTCTGAACAGGGTCTCGTCAAGCTTCAGCTTTATCCGAAGCTTCATTTGCTTCATGAAGTGTGGGAACAAATGGTCTATGAATCCACCCAAAGTGACTGGATATACAATCCTATAGCAGAGACGTGCAGCGTTGACGAAGACTTTGTGGGTCGCTGTCCTGTTTTAAGCCGATCCGTATCCCCTAGATTAATTTCTTTGAGAAGTTTGCAACTTTACCTTGCGCAGATTCAGCAGAGTTGGCCAGGCTGAAAAAACATGATAGGCTCTGGGTGTGGCTGTTTGAGGATGGTAGTTCTATTAAAGTTGGTGTGTGGGCCCTGGGCTCTTTGGGGCTAGTTTTGCAAACGCCGGGAATCTTAATTTTTCTCCCATGGGATGGACATGGACATGTCTGAGATGTCAATGTGTGTGCACGCTCGTATGCTATATATATATATATATATGTGTGTGTGTGTCTTTTGTTCACAGTTTTAGCCTTTTGGAGAGCTTATTTGGAGCTTCCTTGTAGATACGTAAAAACTGTTCGCGCACGTAAAAAACAGTTCAGGAGGGTAACCGATATCCCAGAATGGTTATCATTAATAATCCTCAGCCTGTAGGATAAAGATACTTACCGGGGGGCTGCAGGTGCATACATACATTCAACTTACTTTGGTACTCGGTCACTGTGGTCCTTTCTTTCCACTGCCATGCCCCCCCATACAGGCATATACATGCTATAGCATAGGGCCCTCACATGATAGCCGCATTGGTTCATAACTAGCTTACCTGTGGTTTATGGTAGGTATAACTGTCTTTAACGTGATTATAAACCGACTTATAACTAAAGAGCCCCGTCTTCTATTCATGTTGCAACAGCGACAGAATCACTAGAAAATAACTTTGGGACAAATGACAAATATGGAAACATGTAGGATAACATCGGATAACATCGGATAACCATGGCCCTCAAAATGGGGGTCGGCGGCACCAGGGCGTTAGCCCATTTATAAACCATTAAAAGTGGGTGATGTGTTTATTTCGATATTACACAAAAATCACAAACGGGTATTTTGATGGTTATTTTTTTCTGATTATGTGATAAACCATCAAGAATTGGGTATTAACCACATTAGACCAGATTTTCATGGTAGTTTTTTGGATGTAATGGGATCATCTCAATGTGGTGAACGGATGGTTTTGGGTACCCAGGTACCCGGGTGATGCGGGAAAACGCGGGTGAATGGATGGTTATTCCCCAAAATATGGTCATAATCCCATCCCATATTTATATATCCACATGAATATTACAAGTATAATTTTGTAATATATATATATGGTAATATCTCCAAAATTAGTTACATTACATTACATTATAATATAATATAAAGTAATGTGATGAAGGTAATACAATGTAAATGCGGTTGATTTGTAACCGATGGGTTGAATCTCAATTTTTGCTTGAAAGTCCTCGGTGCTCTATAAGCGGAAGACCCAGCAAAAGTGCCAAGAAACTCTTACTGGCTCCTTAGTTTCCTATTTAATAGGACATACCATCTAGCTATTTAACATAGCCATGGAAAATGGCTCATTTATAGATGCTTTACCAATAAAAAATGGTGATTTTCTGTAGCTACGTTAAATAACCAGAGGGTATATGGAGAGATGGATATTCGATGATATCCGCAGCCCGGAAGAAGCCAGAAATGTCAAATTGCTCCATTTGAACAGTGTCAAGACCCTCTGTCATTTCTCTACTGGCTGGTTTGATAGAATCTCCCGTAACGGGCTGTCATAATCCCAAAGATGTTGGATGGTATAACCTCACACAATCATCAAGCAACCATCATTTATCAATGATATTCCCATATGTTTGATAGTTGAAACCCAAAAAACACCAAGATTGGATGATGGTTATGATATGTTATGATGGTTAAATAATGTTAAATAAACTCATCATCAAGCAACGCCATCATTTTTCGTTTCTGGGTAATTTTTGACATTTCACTCACCAAAAAAACTTGTGGCCATTTGGGGATGATTCCCCTCCAATCCCCATGATGCCTTCCCATGCCAGGCTTCGGTCGCGAGGTGAGGTCGTTGTAATTCCTATCCATTAATTACATCCATTATATATTAGTGTGTATATATAATCCCCCAAAATATGGCCTTATATGGTACAGTACCTCCATTTTAGGATCCTGGATATAATATATATATATATATATTACTAGATCCAAATGTCCATGATCTTTTATTATACATACCCTCTGGTAAACTGCCACATAACTATGGAAAGATCCACCATGTTTATATAATGGGAAAATCCGCTATTTCGACTGGGTCATGTTCAAGTTCGCAAACTGTAACAGTCATTACCAGAGGGTAGTCGATAAATTGACGTGTCTTGCCAAAAATGCTCGGTTATGTATGAAAATTTTTGCCCCATCCCTCTTATACTGCTCGGTTCAGAACGGGATTCCCCGTTCTTGGATGATGAAAATCCCCAATATAAGGGTAGTAACTGTCATCCCCAAACTAATCATCCAAGAGGAGGTTAGCCACCTCCTAATCAGTTATATCCACCCACTCCCCATATTTTGGTAGTTGAAATCCATACTGAATGACTATCATCAACCAACCATCATTTATCAATGATATTCCCATATGTTTGCTAGTTGAAACCCAAAAACCACCAAGATTGGATGATGGTTATGATGGTTAAATCAACTTATCATCAACCAACACCATCATTTAGAACGTTTCTGAGTACATTGTAGTATTTCACCAACCTGATATGGCAGTGTATCAAAACCTTGTACCCCTGTAGTTCACATCAAAATAGCTGGGATTTATGGATGTTCATCCCACTAGAATTGATAATAATAGCTTTTGACCCACCCCCAACATAGCCATGGTATAGATGACCTATAGAAATATAGATGCTTTACCTATTATATACAAATGGTGATTTTCCATGGCAAACTGTGAATGTCATAACCAAAATCCATCAACCAAAACCGTGTCGCACCTCGGGCGGCGCCGCGAAGGTCGACAATTCGTAGAGCTTGGCCAAGGTGTTGCCCAGACTTCGAGACACCAAACCTTTGGTGGAACGATGGATTTTTGTGGATGACAATCTCTTGGGAAAATGATGGGAAAATGATGGGAAAATGACAATCTCTAGGGAAAATGATGCGAAAATGATGGGAAAATGACAATCTCTTGGGAAAATGATGCGAAAATGACAATCGCTTGGGAAAATGATGCGAAAATGATGGGAAAATGACAATCTCTTGGGAAAATGATGCGAAAATGATGGGAAAATGACAATCGCTTGGGAAAATGATGGGAAAATGACAATCGCTTGGGAAAATGATGGGAAAATGATGGGAAAATGACAATCTCTTGGGAAAATGATGGGAAAATGACAATCGCTTGGGAAAATGATGGGAAAATGACAATCTCTTGGGAAAATGATGCGAAAATGATGGGAAAATGACAATCGCTTGGGAAAATGATGGGAAAATGACAATCGCTTGGGAAAATGATGCGAAAATGATGGGAAAATGACAATCGCTTGGGAAAATGATGGGAAAATGACAATCGCTTGGGAAAATGATGGGAAAATGACAATCTCTTGCGAAAATGATGGGAAAATGACAATCTCTTGAGAAAATGATGCGAAAATGATGGGAAAATGACAATCGCTTGGGAAAATGGCGGGAAAATGACAATCTCTTGGGAAAATGATGCGAAAATGAGGGGAAAATGACAATCGCTTGGGAAAATGATGGGAAAATGACAATCGCTTGGGAAAATGATGGGAAAATGATGGGAAAATGATGGGAAAATGACAATCTCTTGGGAAAATGATGGGAAAATGACAATCGCTTGGGAAAATGATGGGAAAATGACAATCTCTTGGGAAAATGATGCGAAAATGTTGGGAAAATGATGCGAAAATGATGGGAAAATGACAATCGCTTGGGAAAATGACGGGAAAATGACAATCTCTTGGGAAAATGATGCGAAAATGATGGGAAAATGAAAATCGTTTTGGAAAATGATGGGAAAATGACAATCGCTTGGGAAAATGATGGGAAAATGACAATCGCTTGGGAAAATGATGGGAAAATGACAATCTCTTGGGAAAATGATGGGAAAATGACAATCTCTTGGGAAAATAACGGGAAAATGACAATCGCTTGGGAAAATGATGCGAAAATGACAATCGCTTGGGAAAATGATGGGAAAATGACAATCTCTTGGGAAAATGATGGGAAAATGACAATCCCTTGGGAAAATGATGCGAAAATGAGGGGAAAATGACAATCGCTTGGGAAAATGATGGGAAAATGACAATCTCTTGGGAAAATGATGGGAAAATGACAAACTCTTGGGAAAATGGCGGGAAAATGACAATCTCTTGGGAAAATGATGCGAAAATGATGGGAAAATGACAATCGCTTGGGAAAATGATGGGAAAATGACAATCTCTTGGGAAAATGATGCGAAAATGACAATCTCTTGGGAAAATAACGGGAAAATGACAATCGCTTGGGAAAATGATGGGAAAATGACAATCGCTTGGGAAAATGATGGGAAAATGACAATCGCTTGGGAAAATGATGGGAAAATGACAATCTCTTGGGAAAATGATGCGAAAATGATGGGAAAATGACAATCGTTTTGGAAAATGATGGGAAAATGACAATCGCTTGGGAAAATGATGGGAAAATGACAATCTCTGGGGAAAATGACGGGAAAATGACAATCTCTTGGGAAAATGATGCGAAAATGATGGGAAAATGACAATCGCTTGGGAAAATGATGGGAAAATGACAATCGCTTGGGAAAATGATGGGAAAATGACAATCTCTTGGGAAAATGATGGGAAAATGACAATCTCTTGGGAAAATGATGCGAAAATGAGGGGAAAATGACAATCGCTTGGGAAAATGATGGGAAAATGACAATCTCTTGGGAAAATGATGGGAAAATGATGGGAAAATGACAATCTCTTGGGAAAATGATGGGAAAATGACAATCGCTTGGGAAAATGATGGGAATATGACAATCGCTTGGGAAAATGATGGGAAAATGATGGGAAAATGACAATCTCTTGGGAAAATGATGGGAAAATGACAATCTCTTGGGAAAATGATGGGAAAATGACAATCCCTTGGGAAAATGATGCGAAAATGAGGGGAAAATGACAATCGCTTGGGAAAATGATGGGAAAATGACAATCGCTTGGGAAAATGATGGGAAAATGATGGGAAAATGACAATCTCTTGGGAAAATGATGGGAAAATGACAATCGCTTGGGAAAATGATGGGAATATGACAATCGCTTGGGAAAATGATGGGAAAATGACAATCTCTTGGGAAAATGATGGGAAAATGACAATCTCTTGGGAAAATGATGAGAAAATGACAATCTCTTGGGAAAATGATGCGAAAATGATGGGGAATTGACAATCTCTTGGGAAAATGATGCGAAAATGACAATCGCTTGGGAAAATGATGAGAAAAGCATGGTTAATGATCATAAGAATGGTTCATAATCATCATTTTCCTTCGGAAACGATGGGTTCTCCACATCTAATTATGTTAGTTTTCAGGAGGGTAAGGTATAGTAATGGTATGTTATAGTCAAACACCCATTGAGTAAAGTTATAGTCAAACCACCAAGATTTAGGTGTTTTATGCTACCTACCCCTTCAGAACGTAAATTGTGCGATGGCTTGCTATTGCGTTGCTAACATCAATAACCTATGGTATATGAGTATAACAATCATTGGTATAATCATGACGGGTACCATTACCAATCTATATTATACCCAATAATTTGAATGTCTGAACATGGGGATATGAATAAAATACGAGGGGTATCATGCATATGAGGAGAGTGAATGGAAAATATAGGAGATACCCTCTGGTAATTTGTTACAGTTTGCTATTGAAAAATGGCCCAGTCGTTTTTTCGTGAGTTTTCCCATTAATAGCATGCTGGATCTGTCCATCGTTTTCTGCATGTTTACCAGAGGATAACCATCAATAACCCATGATTCACCACTACTAAACATCACTATGAATCATTAACCACTACTAACCATCATTAACCACTATTAACCATCATTAACCATCATTAACCATCATTAACCATCATTAACCATCATTAACCATCATTAACCGTTAATGATTACTAACCATAGTCATTAATCACCAAATGGAAACTGTACTTATTCTGGCGTGTTCCTTTCTGGAGAAATGACAATTCACCCATGGAAATGTCGTGTTCCGGGCACAACATTAGGAGAACAATTGGAAAATGTGAGGGATATATACATGTAAATGTGTTTTGTTCAATTTGTTTAATGACAACATGATGATTAAGCATCAAATGTTCCGGACAAACGCAATTTTTTGGAAGGTAGGAGGGGAACGAATGGAGAATATATGTACATATACATGGAAATGGTACAAGAAAAACGCTGGAAAATGCTGGAAATAGTTGGGAGATGATCCTCCACAAGGCGGTAATGATCTGTGGGTTGACCATCTGGGCACATGTAAAAGCCAACTGTGTCAATTTAATCCATAGTCTCATTATTGCTGGGTTTTTCATCATTCTTGTTCATTGTTAGATACATTCTTCGTAATGATTAGTAGTCTTAATGTATTTCTTTGAGAAATTGTCTTGATCGAATCCTGATTATATTAGTGTTGATGATTTCACAATCTTCGGATCGCTGGAAAAAACACGTTACAGAAAACCCCAAACGGTTTGGTAAATTTTACCATGGGCTTCCGGTGAAGATTTCCCAAAAAAAACAATCCATTGAAATAATTGAAATATAGACCTCGGTAAATAGATGGTACTGATTGGTGGTTTTAATCATCTTAAAAAAATATGAAAGTCAATGGGAAGGATTATCCCATATATTATGGAAAATAGAAAATGTTTGAAACCACCAACCAGTGGTAGGAAGATGATGTTCCTCTTCAAACTTTTGCGTGGTTCGACACAGGTCTATCTTAGCTGGTGGAATGGCAATTATAAATCAACAAACTATACATCAACCACGTATTCACTACAGTACTGAAAATGTTCACCATACTGGATACAAAAGACATGCAACAAGTTAGATAATCCATATGAACTTGAATACTCAATCTATTCTTAAATCATCTATAATATCTATGAATTGTCTATAATCATTGGATATATATGGATATATCACATCTGATAGTAGAGAAACTGGGTAGAATCATCATTGGGCATAATAATATAATCTAAAAGAATCTACAGTATCATCTACAGTATCATCTACAGTATAATCTATCATAATCTATAAATTACAGTACACATATGGGTATGGATCAATACCTATTAATACCATTTTTAGGGGAATGAACATCCATAAATCCCAGCTATTTTGGGGTTCACTAGGTACCAGGGTTTTGACCCATCCCCATATGATCAGAATCCGCAAAAATGAACGGCTCCAAGGAGCGTCCCAGCAGACTCTCAGCTGGTGGAGCAAGGGCTACGGCCTCGGGCTGAGACAATTTTCTTGGCGAAACATACCATAAATGGGGTGACTTACCTGATGTAATGGTGATATACTGGGCTGATATAATAGGCTGATATAATACTTACAAACTGATATTTCTTGATATCCTCTATTAAAAAATGGTTGATATAATGGTGATAATGGATAGTGAGATTAATGGTTCAAATGGTTAAAATATACACTATCAATATACACCCTGGCGTGAGTCGGGTTTGGAAGATTAGTGAAACCACTACAAATTGGTGATTTTCAGGGTCCAACTGTTAATTTACCAGAGGGTATACCCTGTTTCCCAGATTGTTGATTAAAAAAAAATGGGGTTACATCATGGTTTAGAAAACTAGCCAATCATTGTAGTCAATTTATCTATGGAAACCCAGGATTGTCCAATCATTATAGTTAGCCAATCTCAGATATATGGAGCTTTTCATGGCCATGGGGGTACCCAAATCGCTGGATGGCTTCATTCATGGAACATCCGAAAATCAAATGGATGACTTTGGGGTACCCCCATGGATTGGAAACCACTACTTAGGATATTATCCTCTTTAACAAAAAAAACCTAAACTGGTTGGTGGTTTCAACCCCTTTGAACAATATGAGTTCGTCAGTTGGGATTATGACCTTCCCAATATGGAAAGTCATAAAATTCATGTTCCAGTCACCACCAACCAGACATTAATCAACAACTAAGGGTTTACCATCATTTACCATATGGCATTGCCAAAGAATAGGGTACCAACCAGCCAAAAAACACCATAAATATGGAAGACAACCATAGTTTCCGTACAGAAAACGATCTCCCACTTTTCAGACCCAAACTTCATATTCCCATGACGCATGCGTCAAAGGTGTTTTCATAAAGACTTGCCAACACAACGCCATGAGACTCATGTATGAACATCAGAAAACATCATTAAACATCATTCTGGCTGATTTACCCTCTGGTAAACTAACATAACTATGGAAAATCACCATTTTTAATAGGTAAACCATCTATAAATGGGCAATTTTCAATAGCTATGTTAGTTTACCAGAGGGTATCAGATATCACCACAAAGCTGAAAGTTTCACCTTCTGCGCCATAGACTGCGCTATTTGGGGATGATTTTCCCACAACCAACACATTCATTATTCCCATGAAATCATCGTTTTTGATCAACCCTAAGATACCCGGCCTGGTAAACATAGAAAAAGCGACATGGAAAATGGCACAAAAATAATGGGGCTTTATAGTGATTCAATGGGATATGAATGGGATATACCATCTGAGAATTCAACATAGCGACATGGAAAATGGCACATAGAAATAGTTGATTTACATACCATAAATAGCATGGTGGTGATTTTCCAGTTCGTTATTCCCATGAACTGTGAAAAAAAACATCCCATCATAATGCCATTGTACTCCCAGTACCCTCTGGCAAACTAACATAGCTATGGATAATCACTATTTTTAATGGGTAAATCCACTATAAATGGCCATGTTCAATAGCTATGTTAAATTACCAGAGGGTAATTCTCATTCCCCCCATTCTGAATCCATGATATGTTTTTAATGATATCCCATTATTTACACTATTTCTCTGGGTTATATAATTAATATTTCACGAACCTGAATTAAGGCCATTTGGGGACGTTTCCCCTCATTAATCATGATTCCAGGCTTTGGAAAACAGTGAGGTCGTTATAATTTACCCAGAAATCATCAGATTATTGTACATATATATATAATAGATAATTATAGATATTATATATATACATATCATTGTATATAATTACATATATATATATATACATATTAGTTATATATACTTATATATATATGTATATTAATTATTTATATTATAAACATTGACTCTCCTTTAAAACCGCATTATAGATATCCCCTTCTTTTCCTGTTCTTGTTGCAGGGATCCCTCTCATGGCTGCCCGACCGCCAACTGAGCCAGCAGGGACGAGAAGCTGCGCCTGGCGAACCCTGCAGATATCATCAATAATGGTTATCAAACAATAATGGTTAATATATGGTTAATATATGGTTATATATTATATATGGTTATATAATATTATATATACGTATGGTTAATATATGGTTAATGATGATTTATAATGATCTGGTTGGTGGTTGACCTACCCCTCTGAAAAATGATGGAGTGAAAGTCAGTTGGGATTATGACATTCCCAATTTATGGAAAAATATAAAAATGATTCCCAATATATGAAAAACATGTTCCACACCACCAACCAGCTATAGATTTGGATATTTACCGTTTAAGATGGACATGTAGAGAATGCATATTTACCATTTATTATTAGTAGATATCGTATAGATATGGATATTTACCAAGTCAAACAAAATCTTATATAGAGAATAATTGTGGAGATGTCCTACGAATGATGAGGATTCCTCAGCAACACCTAACAAGATGGGCCATGAAAAAGTGAGTCAGTTCAGCTACCAAAAAACAATGGGGATGTTTGATGTTTACCCATTTTATAGTGAGAAACTAATCATGTTTCATGAAATACGATACGATACAACCCCTAAAAGATGCAGAAAAAAATCTACATGAAGCCCTTCTTGGGGTGTTTTAGAAGCCCTGGAAGCACCGTGGAGCACAGTGTTCGCTTGGAAGATCACATCATGGCATCAACGGATGGTGTTGTTTGAGAAAAAAAACCGTAAAATGATGATCTTCAAGTTTGAAAGCCTCATTGTTTTGGACCACCGGACAACCCCATCGGGTTGGTGCTTTCAACACATTGATACAAATCGGGATCATCCCTGCTTTGTAAATAGAAAGTATTTGAAACCCCCCAACCAAGTGTAGGTGCTCAATCTACCCTCTGGTAAACTAAGATAGCGAACTGGAAAATCACCATCTTTAATAGGTACGGTAAATCAACTATTTCTATGTGCCATTTTCAATAGCTATGTTGAATTATCAGATGGTATATCCCATTCATATCCCATTGAATCACTATAGAGTCCCATTATTTTTTATAAATCCCATGGAATCCCCCATTGAATCACTATAAAGTCCCATTATATTTTTATAAATCCCATTGAATCCCCCATAGAATCACCACATAAAGTCCCAGTAAAGAATCGGAAAATGGATGTCACCCAAAATGATGGCCAGGGTTGGCCAGGCTTGGATGGTCGTCGGTCAAGAATCACAAAGCTCAAGCAGTTCCGGTGTCGCAAGGCATATCTTTTCTGATTTCAATCATTTTCCATGACATAGTTACATATTCCATAGTTACATAATAGTATTTTCATGACAATAACAATGATAACAATGATTAAATTATGAGAATGATAAGAATGATCATAATGATAAGAATGATAAGAATGATAATATCTCATATAGGTTCTAAATTATTTGGATACTCATTGATAGACCTGTCCACGATAGACCTGCTTTCCTTAGTAAATTATTCCCCAGATCTGGAAGTGTTTGAAATATACTTCTTTGTCATGTTTCCCAAGAATTGCCATTTTGGGGCATATCGTATTTTCTATATAGACCACAAGAAACCCATTTGGGGGGTTCTCAAAGGGGGATCCCCAGTCGTCACCATGGTTGTTTCAAGTCACTAAGTCATGATCATCCATGACGACTGGATGATTTGGGGTACCCTGACTTAGGAAACCTCCATATTGGGGCTATCATGGGGACATAATTGATTTAATCTGGAACAATTCCCAGGTATAATCCACATATTAGAGCCATTTATTGGGGATGTTCCATATCTTTCCATATATTAAGATCCATTTATAAGGGACATCCCACCTCAACTCACCTGCCCCACAGGGCACGTCTTTTCAACTCGTTCGCCGAGGACTTTGAAGGCTGCCCTTTTTCGGCACTTTGACCGAGGGCCGAAGATGTCGAGCGATGTGAGACGGGCCAGAGCCAAAAGCTCCGGTCGCGGTAACTTCGCATTGCGAAAAGTTCTGGGAACGACTGGATCTGGAAAAAAAATGCTTCAAAGAGCATGGAATTTCGACATAAAATTCAAAATCCACCGTAAATCATCGTTGCTCATTATCTAGATTTCTATGGTGTAAATCTCTGAAAAAAACACGCGAACTTCACTGTCAACAAAATCGCCAAGGGATGGACGATGTTCATCCAGCGCTGGTTCCCATTCGGGGGTCCTTTTTGGGCCGCAGCAAACACCATCAGAAAACGGCCAGTGACGTCGGCGAGGTCGTTTTTTTCAGGCATTGCCACCGAAAATCATTGCACTTCTTGTATCTTCTGCTCATAATGCCTATCAATGTCAACCGAATTGATAAACCCATCCGATCTGTTTTCAGATGAAGGGGTACAAATCGGAAGAGTATTTTGTACATGTTATCCCACTTTTTGGACGAATTGGAGCAACCCCCAAAAAAGATAGCAAAGTAACTCATCACTAATTACTATTTCCTTGGGATTCTACTTCCTTATCTTTTTGGCGGTTGCTATATATAATACCATGAGGGGGTCTACTCATATCAGCATCACTTCAGAAGTTCAGAAGGGGCTCATTTTTTCAAATGGCAAATCTGCCAGTGATCCGGATCCCAGCTACATTAGATCCCCATCTTCTCTCGATCTCGGACGAAAAAAAACCATATGTTTTTCCAGCTTACTCCGCTTTCCCGGTAGTGATTCCGAACTCTCCATCTTATCCCATTGTTGGATGAATGGACAATTGGTATACCCTCTGGTTATTTCACATAGCCATGGTATAGATGGCCCATAGAAATAGATGGTTTACCTATTAAAAATGGTGGATCTTTCCATGGCTATGTTAGTCATAACCAGATGGTAATTCATGCCGCGTGATTCCTGAAGTAACTTCGAAGACTTCCAAAATCGGACAAGTCCAGCAATTTCCAGCTCGGGGGAAATCCGTGGCTTTCCGCTTTGGAAATGACGACAAAATTCATGGCACGGATTTTCCATATCGATGTGAACGGTTTAGTGCAGATGGTTTCGAAATCCTGCACCAGTTGGTACACGGTAAAAATCCAGGAGTTTAGTTTATCCCCTAATCCCAGTATTTTCAGTGTTTCAGAGGTACCAATAGTTACCAATTGGTGCAGGATTTCTTTCATCCACAGTATATATGATCATTTGCAGTATATAGTGACATGAGTCAGCCACCCATCTTATCCAACTTTTCTTGGTACAACACTTAATTTACCTTGCCCTGGAAAATTATATCTCCCCGCTAGTTAATCAGTTTCCCACTTATGGCAAAAATCAAATCCACCAACTTAGCAATAATCACCAGAGTACCCTCTGGTAAACTAACATAGCTATGGAAAATCACCATTTTTAACGGGAAAACTCACTATTTCTATGGCCATTTTCAATAGCTATGTTAAATCACCAGAGTAGTTCCATCCACTCTTGGAATATCCCAACTCAGATGAACGGTTTATACTAAGACACATGGCTGAACCAGACCACTTCCGATGCCACTTCTAGTCCATAGAGTAGCCTCCGCTAATCAGTCACATGGCTTGCTGGGAAATCTCCCAGCCGTAGTTCAATGAATTTCCCAGCAAACTATCCATATAATATATATATATATAACTTTATATCTATATCTATATATATATATATAATTATATATATATCAATTTATTAAATTTATTAACATCCATTTACAGGGAATGTTCCATATTTATCTATGATTGTCCCATGTTTTTTTGTCCAAAAAAAAGCTGTCTGGCTCGGGGATTTCCTTCGCAAAGTCTCAGACCTTGTGGATGTCCATACTCAGCGCATTGCTGATCAAAGGTCTAGAGGAACTACGAGTCCTGAGGATGGAAGCTGATCGAAGCTGATCAACCTGGTTGGTATTTTTCTTGTGGTCAACTGGATTTTTCCTAAGTCTCGGTTCTTTGCCCAAAGATAGACTTAAAAATGGGTTTATCCCATGTAAGAGTGTGTTTATACATAACCACCCTTACAGATGAGATAACTAGGGAGTCCCTGCCCCTGATCATCCAATATGACACCCGGGTGTTCCTGGTTTCTATCGGGGGATTTTAAAAAATGCTGGAACAGGAGTGTGGTTCACCGGGCCGGAAGTGTTGAACCTTGGTGCTTCACCAAGCGGTGGAAGGTATGGAATCTCTTCATGACTTGGGATCTTCTCCCAGGCTTCTTATTGCTGGAAAAATCTGGAAAAAAATAACAGCCTCGAAATTCTTTTCGCATGGAATGCAAAAATCGGGATTGCAATCTCCGAAAAATCATCGAAACTGAAACCTATCTGACTTGGGGGTCATGTTGGATTTTTGCAGGGTAATGTGATAATGCCTGGATTATTTATTGGCAGATCTTCTCATGTTTCCGGAGATGTTTACATCACTGAGGAAAAAAACGTGGAAATTATTGAAGAGATCATGCTGCGAGATGTTTACCATTGAGACATGGACCCTGTTTGAGGGATCGTCCAAATCACTTGCGCACCATCGAACCACAGAACCAGGTTAGTTGGTGTCCCCAACATAGAGTCACTCCAACACAATCTATTTATGTAACTTGCTGCTATGTTTATTATGTTTATTCAGTATATGAAACACACTTTTGGAAAAACATACTGATCTCAATGTTTCAACTGATGTGCTGCATGTCTCTTTCGAAACATGTCAAGTAAACTGGATGTAAAGGGGTGCTCATCACGCCGAACATGTTTGTTGTGTTCTTTTTCGCATGGCAATGTTGCTGTCTATATATCCTCTATACACACCATTTTTTTCTGTAGACATGCATCGATCCCAAGTCAAATGTTCAAATCCTTTTTTTGACTACACCCAAAATCTCTGGCTATGAAGGTGTATCTCTGACCCTAATTGTTCTTATTTGATACCTCCAGGATCATCCCACTTAACAAGAAGGCAGCATCCATGGTGAAAACTCGACGGGACTAGGCCTCCCTACTCTCCAAGTGTGGGTGTGGGTGGTGGCATGCTCACCGGTACCAGACCTTGTGCACAGCATATGTCGTCGCTGTGGCAAGCAGCGAAAGTTGAAATACTCCCATCCCCCTGAATGGGATATAATTCAACGGATCTTTTAATGTTAATTTAACCAACAGAACAGAGAAATTAAGCAGCAAAAATGGTGACTCAACTTACAGAAATGGGGATAGCACATTCAAAATCTATAAAGATGTTGGTTTAATCAAGATCGAATTACTAATTGAAATTCATTGAACTTGAAAAAATGTTTGTTTATTTCCAATGTTGAAACATGACAAGGCACCACAAATGCTGGGACTTCGTCCGGGTTCGCTGTTTGGATGAGGGTTTTTAGTTTTTACCTCTATCATTTACAACCTACATGGAGATCAATAGATTCAATAAATGATCAAAAGTCGGGTGATTTTTTTCATAACAAAGGGAACAGAAAAGGAAAAAAAACAATTTTTGCCTGTCATTGGATCACTTTGATGCACGGACAATATGGCAATTTTTGGAGAGTGTTCAAGAAAAAAAACACTTCGGCCCTACAACGTCACCTCGCTACCCTACCAACACCTCTTCCAATAAAGTTCCACAAAACGGAAAAATTTGCACATTGAAGTTGCGTTGTGCTTGGTTGGGGTGGGGTGGCATTCATTCGCCTGAGATCACCCAAGTCATTCTTTGGCACGCTTTTGATGAGGAACACAGGAGCAGTTCGGTGTCGGGGGGCCCATTCTGAGGATAAAAACTGACGTGTCGTTTTGGTGAAATTGCACTATAATGCGAATAAAATGCGGACCGCAATAATTCCGCGGAGAAGTATTATGTTTAACCGAAACATGTTGTACAGTGTGTATATATATATATATATTTTATATAACTATATGTATCTACTGTATATTGTAACTGCATATAACTGTCCAGTAGGTTTTATACTAGTAGATATATATATATATTATGCATACATACATACATACATACATACATTACATTACATTATATTGCATTACATTACATTACATTGCATTACATTACATTACATACATACATTACATACATTACATACATTACATACATTACATACATTACATACATTACATACATTGCATACATTGCATACATTACATACATTACGTACATTACGTACATTACATACATTACATACATTACATACATTACATACATTACATACATTACATACATTACATACATTACATACATTACATACTTACATACATACATTACATACATTACATACATTACATACATTACAGACAGGAACATACATACAGACATTACATTTACATTACATACCTTACATACCTTACATACCTTACATACCTTACATACCTTACATACCTTACATACCTTACATACCTTACATACCTTACATACCTTACATACCTTATACATACCTTATACATACCTTATACATACCATACATACCATACATACCATACATACCATACATACCATACATACCATACATACCATACATACCATACATACCATACGTACCATACGTACCATACGTACCATACGTACCATACGTACCATACGTACCATACGTACCATACGTACCATACGTACCATACGTACCATACCTACATACATACATTACATACATACCATACATACCATACATACCATACATACCATACATACCATACATACCATACATACCATACATACCATACATACCATACATACCATACATACCATACATACCTACCATACCTACCATACCTACCATACCTACCATACCTACCATACCTACCATACCTACCTACATTACCTACATTACATACATTACATACCTACCATACCTACCTACATTACCTACATTACATACATTACATACATTACATACATTACATACATTACATACATTACATACATTACATACATTACATACATTACATACATTACATACATTACATACATTACATACATTACATGCATTACATGCATTACATGCAATACATGCATTACATGCATTACATACATTACATACATTACATACATTACATACATTACATACATTACATACATTACATACATTACATACATTACATACATTACATACATTACATACATTACATCCATTACATCCATTACATCCATTACATTACATACATTACATACATTACATTTACATACATTACATACATTACATACATTACATACATTACATACATTACATACCATACATACATTACATACATTACATACATTACATACATTACATACATACATACATTACATACATACATACATTACATACCATACATACATTACATACATACATACCATACATACATACATACATACATACATACATACATTACATACATTACATACATTACATACATTACATACATTACATACATTACATACATTTCATACATTACATACATTACATACATTACATACATTACATACATTACATACATTACATACATTACATACATTACATACATTACATACATTACATACATTACATACATTTCATACATTTCATACATTTCATACATTTCATACATTTCATACATTACATACATTACATACATTACATACATTACATACATTACATACATTACATACATTACATACATTACATACATTACATACATTACATACATTACATACATTACATACATTACATACATTACATACATTACATACATTACATACTTTACATACATTACATACATTACATACATTACATACATTACATACATTACATACATTACATACATTACATACATTACATACATGCCATACATTACATACATTACATACATTACATACATTACATACATTACATACATTACATACATTACATACATTACATACATTACATCCATTACATACATTACATACATTACATACATTACATACATTACATACATTACATACATTACATACATTACATACATTACATACATTACATACATTACATACATTACATACATTACATACATTACATACATTACATACAATACATACATTACATTACATTACATTACATTACATTACATTACATTACATTACATTACATACATTACATACATTACATACATTACATACATTACATACATTACATACATTACATACATTACATACATTACATACATTACATACATTACATACATTACATACATTACATACATTACATACATTACATACATTACATACATTACTACATTACATACATTACATACATTACATACATTACATACATTACATACATTACATACATTACATACATTACATACATTACATACATTACATACATTAATACATACATACATACATACATACTTACATACATACATACATACATATATATGTATGTATTATCAAATCATCAAAAATACATCAAAAATACACATCAATCATGTCTTGTGGGCCCCACCCTCAAGTTTCACCACCCAACAAAAACACCTCTGGCCGTGGCCGTGGAGGTGGCTGGGAAATCCCCAAAATCTAGCCACGGAGGTCAGGGAAAATGGGAACATCCTGGGAAAACCCGAGGAAAACCATGGGACATATGAAAACAAAGCGGTTTAGTTCGCTGCGAAAATCCTTGAACTAAATGGAGAAATTTCAAGCCACATTTGATCACCGGAGGGTGATACCTAAGAAATACATACAAATACTGATTTTTTGGCCTGCATTGTCCCAAGGTACTGTAGATGTGCTGGTCGGATGGTCACGTTTTTCTGCTGGCTCCACATTGAAAAACTACGTGGTAAAGCAGTCGAATTTATTGAAGTTGGCATGTCTTGCCAGAAAATTACCAGAGGCTACAGAAACCCTCTGGATACGATATGGAAAAGTCATTCATGACCATTTCAGTAGGATCTCACTTTTCTATCTTTCAAGGTGAATATGATCATACCTCAGAGACCTGAACTGGGCCGTTTCTTCAAGTGCCTCTACAAGGTGGTGCCCCACTTAGCAGCGAGCATAACAGCGCACAGTTTAACTTGGCAAAATGCTGAACCAACTTCTAACTGGGATGGTTCAACTGATTTAACTATAGATTTCATGGGGATTTCAGACCAACTTCGAACTGGGGGGGGGCAGCACCGAAGAACCACCAACTCGCCAAGTAGCTGGTGATCAGGGATGCTGCGTGTCGCACGTTGTACTCCTTTTTGGACGTCATTGGGTTCGAGTGGAATATCAATGGAATATATGATGTTCATGATATATTACCATCTGGTTATTGAACATAGCCATGGAAAATCACCATTTTTTATAGCTAAACCATCTATAAATGGGCCAGTTTCCATGGCTATGTTAAATAACCAGAGGGTATATATAATTGTATGTATGATGTTAATCGGATATACAAACTGTCTGAAGCTGGGGTTAGAATGGCATTCCGCCAGCAATCATGGAATATATCATGGGATACCGTGTATTCTGGGATATATGGAAAAAAACATGAGGATTTGGGATACGATTTTAGGGCCCATACCCTTTTTAAATTTAACATAGCTATTGAAAATGGTCATTTATAGTGAGTTTTCCCATCAAAAATGGTGATTTTCCATAGTTATGTTTGTTTACCAGAGGGCCCATAGAATCAGAATCTTCCGATTTTAGGGTGGATTCAATCATGGTTTCTGGATGGTGTTTGGTTTGATGTTCCCTATGAACTAACCTCGATTTACTTCGGGGATTTCCCAGGTGCATTTCATGACACCATTGCGGGGGACGTGAGCCGATAAATTGCTCATCAATATCCATTAATTGTACCCATTCAATCTTGTCATATCCAATGATATCATGATATGATGTTTCCTAAGTCCTGGGGGTACAGTACCCCCAAATCATCCAAGTCATGAAAAAACATGACTTAGTATTGAAACCCATGGTGACTTGGGGACCCCCCATGACTTAAGCACCCCCCTTATGAGGATATTAATAGGCATACAATATGACGAGGGAAAACCAACGCCATAAACATCCATAAACCATCATAAACCTACGAAATTTGGGAATGGCTAGATATTATCATATCAATTACATCCCTAGGATCTCCCTACAAATACTATATATATTATGTTATATTGTATATATACTGTAAATATATATATATATCCTAGATATCCTTATCGAAGGAAGTTTATAATTCAATATTCCGACAATATGGAGAGATGAAAAGCAGAGCAGGGAAGAGGCAGAGAGAAGAGAAAGATTAGAAGAAAGAAGAGTAGAAGAGAAAGAGTAAGAAGACAGAAGATGCAGATGCGCGAAAAGGTAGGAAAGTCGCGAAACACTGTGTTTTTTCCAATGATTTGTGGCTCCGGAGGGTCGAAAAGTAGGCTCGCTAAAGCGGCGGGTGCGGAGCCAGCTGGCCAGAGGAGAGATGAAAAATTGCACGCTGTTGTGGCGCGAAGCACATTTCCAAGTGAAAATGTACAAAACACACCATTCTCGGACCACTTTTGGAAGTTGCGATGTCGAAAAAGTGCACGCCGCTGTGGCGCGAAGCACATTTCGAAGTCAAAATGTACAAAACACACCATTCTCGGACCACTTTTGGAAGTTAAGATGTCGAAAAAGTGCACGCCGTTGTGGCGCGAAGCACATTTCGAAGTCAAAATGTACAAAACACACCATTCTCGGACCACTTTTGGAAGTTAAGATGTCGAAAAAGTGCACGCCGTGGCGCGAAGCACATTTCGAAGTCAAAATGTACAAAACACACTAGGTTCGGACCACTTTTGGAAGTTAAGATGTCGAAAAAGTGCACGCCGTTGTGGCGCGAAGCACATTTCCAAGTCAAAATGTACAAAACACTACATGTTCGCGCCACTTTTGGAGGTTCAGATGTCGAAAAAGTGCACGCCGTTGTGGCGCGAAGCACTAAAGGGGTTCGGACCACTTTTGGAGGTTCAGATGTCGCTTCGCCGCTTCGCTTCACTACACTACACTACGTTACATTACACCACACTCCACTATACTACACTACATTACACTACACTACACTCCACAACACTACAACTACAACTACACAACTAGACTACACTCCACTACATTGAATTTCACTACACTACACTACACTCCACTACACTACAACTACGACTACACAACTACACTCCACTACACGAAATTACACTACACTACACTACATTACACTACACTACACTACATTCACTACATTCCACTACACTACACTACATTACACTACACTACAATACACTGAATGACACTGCACCACAGATAGACAGGTAGACAGCTAGACAGATAGACAGATGAAAGAGAGATAGATAGATAGATAGATAGATAGATAGATAGATAGATAGATAGATAGATTGGGTAATTAGATGAGAGAGAGAGAGATAGATAGATCGATAGATAGATAGATACATAGAAAATAGATAGCTGGGTAGGTAGATAGTCAGAGAAAGAGATAGAAAGAGTGAGAGAGATCAGGCACCTTTCAGTCCATCAGTGGCTTCGCTCTACCATCCCTGATTCACAACAACCAACCTCTCCTATAGGTTCCTATTTTTGAAACTTCCGCCACCGCCTTGTGCGGTACTACTGGTAAAATCCTATAAAATCCAACAAAAAGATCTCCCTAAAATCAGTGATTTTCCCATCATATCTCAGACGAAGGCTCCACTAAGGCCGCCAGGAGATTCGCTTGTCGATTCGTCAAGGTCGCTCCACCTGGGCCTCCAAAGTAATGCGACGCCACCGGGCGGGGGGAGATAACCATCAAGTGATAGATAATAACGGGTTAACTGGTTAACTGGTTAACTGGTTAACTGGTTAACTGGTTAACTGGTTAACTGGTTAAGGGTTTAGGGTCCCTAAACCATGAAATTTCCAGATATTTAGAGGAGTTCAATGATAACTGAATGGGATTTAATGGTAACTTTATAGATATTTAGATTAATGGTAATGATTTAATGGTAGTGATTAATGATTTGATGGTATTATTGGGATTAATGGTATTTATGGTACTGAAATTTACAGGAATTGAATGGTACTGTATTTCATGATATTTCAAGGATATTTAGAGGAATTGAATGGTAATTTCATGGGGACTGCTGATGGGAATTTAATGGTAAGTTCATGGGATTTTTGATGGGATTCGAATGGGATAGAAAAATGTGATCTTAACTTGTCATCCCATCAAATGGTATAATCCCATTGATTATTGATTTTTATATAGTTGACTAACCAATCTTTAATCAAATGGTATAAACCCATCTTAGTTTGAAATGCGGAGATAACCAACTTGTAATTCGATGTGGGATTCGAGTCGTGGGATTTCATGGGGATTTCACCATCAACATTGTTGGGATTTGATGCGATTGAATTGGATTTACCGGCGCGATTCATCACCAACCAGAATGGGGATATCAGGGGTATGTAATCTGATATCCTAGTGGTATGATATGATGGGATCCAACATTGATCGTTGGATACCACAGCTCCTTAGCTCCCAATCACCAGTTATCATGTTTTGACTGTTATGGTTGTTATGATGATATATCGTTGTAGTCGCTATGCTTGTTGTTGTTGCTGCTGTTGTTGTTGTTGTTGTTGCTGTTGCTGTTGTTGCTGCTGCTTGTGCTGCTGGTGGTGGTGGTGGTTGGTTGTTGGTTGTTGGCTGTTGGTTGTGGTTGTGGTTGTGGTTTTTCTTGTTCCTGTTCCTGTTCATGTTATTGGATTTCCCACACCAATTATGTATACATTATGTATACCGTATCTCATCATTTGGCTTTAACTTAAAGGGGGGTCTTCAACCCCCTCTATTCATCAACCAACCAGTGGGAAAAGGACATCTATGTCCCACACCCCAGTCTCCCCAGGTGATGGCTGCCGCAAACCCGCACCTGGGGTTGGTTGGACAAACCTGGGAGCAGCTGGTTACTCAAACATGCCTGGCAAATCCCCTATCAATTTTTCTGGATGTCTTAATGGGAATGATAACATACATATGTTAACTATAAATGGTTCATTTTCCAGCCATGTTGGACTACCGTATGGCAGTTTCCGGATGATTTGGGTGGTATATCCTGTGTGAATCGGCATAATATACTCAAACAACGGTGCATCAACTGTTGGAATGATGGCTGGCTTGTAGTTATCTGTAGATTGTGGAATAGCTGAAAATACCATCTAGTTTGCTCTGACCGGAATACACCCAGTTGGTTGATAAAACCCCATATTTGCTGAAGATACCCCATGTTACACGGCTTGAAAATGACAGAGACCAGGCTACGAAATCTGTCAAGCTGATGGCCACACTGTGTTTCCATGAATACAAACACGGAACTGAACGGATACAAAAAACAGGTTTCACTGTAAAATTGAATGGCTAGTCAAACTGCTACAGCACCTTACATTCGCCAAGTACCTGCATTCGTTTGTTGATTCATTTGTTGATTGAGTAATTAGGTGCTTTACCATTGCCAATCTTCGATGCCCCGCAAAAAGAAAAAAAGTCAATTGTTCATAAATATTCCCAACATTACCAGAAATCAAAGTAGTGAACTGCAGCAATCCCCGAAAAGATGCAGCAAAGTAAAATCTCATCCTGAAGTAGTGGTAATCCTTTCTTTCTATCTGTTTGGGGGCTACGATTAAAATTGACATCACGAGCCTGCGATTAATCGCAGGTTGGAAGACACGTCCCTCTTCCAAAAATGGCTGATTCTCAGGGTTCAAGTCTTAGTTTGGGGTCTTTGACCAATGTTGACCAACAAAAAACGATCAAATAGTGGCTATCCCCATTTTTTACCATCCCATTTCATGTTTTGATCATCTTTAATCCCCATTTTTTCTCGGTGCCTCAACCATGCTTTTCCGGGGCTTGATATTCCGCTCCAAGCTGCGGGAAGTTGGGGAAGGAACCACGAAGGCCGCAGTTCAACTCGTACCTAGTCTCCTGCTCCGAACCACGAACCAACCAACCAATGGGAATTTGCTGGAAAAATATGAGGAAATTTGTCTTCGAAAAAAAATCGCATGAGCCTTGAGCTGCTATTCTGATGATCAAAAAATGCGGGCAAGCCAAAAAATATACATATATATATATGTATATGTATAACATTTGGGGATGGTTTATAGCACCCAAAATGTTGATGACTTGGGGATGGTTACCGGATGGTTTATTTACCGTTTTTGTTTACCACAGACCATCGATGCAGTCGGCCCCGCCTCGGGCAAATGTTCTTCGAACTTCGTCACGCGATCGATGTGGATCAACACCAAATCCACGGAAAAGTCTCCTGGGGACCCCGGGATCCTACAGAAACTGCCCCTAGGAGGGATACAACCCATAGGATACTATGGCTCCGAAATATAGGATTACATGGCAAAGAGCACGCCAGGATTGATGTAAATGGATACAACGATTATCATATTGATATATGTATATATTTATATATATTGCCCTTCAAGGTAGACCTGCAAGTAGTTGTCCATTTGCAGGCTCGCATTTTCAAAGCTGGGAATCACGAACAAAATTGAGATACAGTATATGGGGGGGTTCCTAAAATGGTGGTACCCCAAATCATCCATTTTAATAGGATTTGTTCATCATAAAGCATGCATTTTGAGTACCCCCATTGATGGAAACCCCCGACAATGAAGTGGTCCCAAACTTGGGACACCCCATAACTTGAATGATTTCAAGGTCCTACAGATTAGTACTTCCCATCCATATGTAGATACATGTAAATACATATTAGTAGAACCAACAATTAAAAAAAAACAAACAAACTAGTAGTTGGTAGGAGGCGCATAGACGGCCGCATGTTTTCGGGCATGTTTTGAAGTTGTTTTTCTGGTGTGGGGTGGGGTGTGGTGGATGGCATCTTTCATGTATACGTGCACATACTTGACGCTATGCTACAAGATATTCTCTGGCACTTGCACACATCACGCTACACTAGCACATGTGTTTGGGAACAATTCGGCCTTCTGAGTTCTTGCGGCACTTGCTGAAGCTGCTCTGAAAGAAGAAACACGGTCCGCCAAAGTAGATTTCACCCACATTTGGAACCAAATGATGAGGAATCATTAATCATTTCACCATCATTGGATCATGAATCTTTGTGTAAGTTTTCATTCTCATGTGTTTCAAAACTCATGAGGATTCCTACTTACACAAAGAAACATGAAGCAGTTTGCAATTACGATGCGCAGAGGAAACCTAGCCGTTGAGGTGAAACGAATCGATGTAAGCATGGTGAAATACTCTCCATCAGTTGGGATATGGTGCCTCTTTAACTATTGTATATCCACTTATAACTGGAACTTCCAAATAACCCAAACCTAGATACCATTGGTTCCCTACATCAAAAGTCTAAAAAATGTGTTGGTGTTCTCCGGGGAATTGCTTTCCAACATGGCAGAGACCACCTATTGTAGGGGGTTATATCCACATGAATCCCCCATGTTGGGAGATAAATCATTCTAAACCATTTGAACTACTCTCGGGTGCATCATGGAAGGGTTGGGCCATCAAAAATACCTTGATCCCATCTCATGAAAATACTAGTTGTTTGGAAACGTTCCCCTACTATTGGTTCTCACAATCCCCAAGAACGTCGGTAGTAGTATAACCCATCAATTTGGGTACTTTGTTCACGGCTCAGTTGGGTCCATCCAATCCGCGCGATCCTTTGATCTGCCAACGTTCGTTGGGCAACACACGAAGCTTCCGTCGGACCACGCCTCCGAAAGCGCTCCGCTCTGGGCAGGGGGAAGCCCCCGCCGGCCCTTGCCCTCAATGGATATCATGTATAGATCCCATTCCATCCCTACCACGTGCAAAAATGTCTATAATATATCCAAAAACTGATTGATTCAAACATATGTTGCAGCTTATTTAAATCACAAGTTGTCCCATTTTTTTGGAGTTGAGTCCCATTTCTATTTAAAGCCACATTGGTCAAAACATAAACCTTCCATCATTCACACTATTCATATTCCACAGACCTCTCCCATAGATAGATAAATTTCATTAGATTGGTTTCAGATAAAGATTAAGATTAAGATTAGATAGATAGATAGATAGGTAGATAGATAGATAGATAAATAGATAGATAGATCCATCGACCGATACCGCCCATATTTGTACATATAAAAAATTATAAAAATATATGCTAGCACATATATAATCAAATATAACCATATGTAATCATATATCTATAAATAAAATCAAATACAATCAAATATATGATCATATTGATGTGTGATCATATATAATCAAAAAAATATTTGTATATATATATATAATCATTTATAACCGCGTATCTACAGTATATATATATAATCATAATCTATATATATATAGTCAAAAAAATGTAAATATAAAATCAAATACATCCACATGAAAAAAACATATTATAATCATAATCTATATATAATCATATATCCATATATAATCGTACATATATATCTACTAATACATACATCACAATGGATGTCAGGAAGCAATGGATGTCACAAAACAATGGATGTCACAAAGCCATGGATGTCACAGAGCAATGGATGTCGCAGAGCAATGGATGTCACAGAGCAATTGATGCTGAAGTGATGGATGTTTTCAGTGCATATTTGAAATAGAATCTACATTTTTTTAACAAAAAAAAGTTGAAGCCCAAAGATGGTGTGGTTGTGATGTGATGGGTGTTTTCGGTGGAAATAGTTGGTAAAATCTAGATAAAACGGTTGGTATACACACACAATCACAATCCACACACAATCACACACCTATATATATAATCATATATATAAGCATATATCTATATATGTACTCATATACAAATATATATATATAAGCCTAATCTATATATATATATAATCATATGGTTATGGGGTGGTTTTGGGCCTGTGGTTTTTCAGTGGTTTTCTGGGGGCCTTTCTGGGAAGCTGTTTGAAGTTGCGCGGCAGCATTGTCTTTTCCTGCAAGGCGAACGTGTCTCAATGCGGAAGCGATCTGCACAGGTATTACGCGCAGAAAAAAAATCCGCATACGTGCGCCTGCCACGCGACATTGGCCGCGGGGCATGAGAGATCCAAATCCCTTTGCGTGTCACCCACCTCCACGCGCGGCTTTGGATTGCAGGATCTTGGCCCGAGGCGACTGCGGCCCCGCAAAGCTTGCGGTAGGGTCCCTCATCAACTGCCACTGGTGCGCTGTGGGGGTTCTCGGGCTTCCACTCCTAGGGCGGCGCGCCGCAGGATTCCCGGGCGCTGGTTCACGTGTTTCGTTTGCTGCAGCCCGTTCAGCGACCACATCCGCAGGCAACCGATTCATAGTGCGCGACGCGTGCGTGTTCAAAATGCACTCGTGTTGACATGCATACGTGCAAAACATCTACATGTGTGCTTTTCTAGACTCTGGCTACTCAAATGACTTTGTGTACGGCATGGTCTGTGGAATGTGGAACTGCTTACCTGTTTTTGACTTCTCGCTGGGTCCTCGGTTGTGTCTCTGGCACATGCGCTCTAGCCCTACCCGAAAATAACTGCAGATGAATGGGTGGTTGGATTGCTGAAATGGTACTATGTGATATGCACCGTATTACGCATATAATGACCCTGAGATACTTGATTGCCATTCTTGACGACATATTCTATCTACTATTCGTGACAGTTTCCCCCCTTTCGACTATTTGAATTATTCAGGACCCTATACTACTACCTTATATATTAGGCTTCGGGGCACCTTCCTTTTGTCAAGAAACCTCGGACTCTAAAGTGCACCTCCTCACTCCAAGATGAACCCTATAAAGACACTTCCCACTCTAAAGTGAACCCCTTCACTCCAAGGTGACCCCTTGGTTTGGTTGAGCTCTCCTCACTCTAAGGTGAACCCTAAAGACACTTCCCACTCTAAACTGAACCCGTTCACTCCAAGGTGAACCCTTGGTTTGATTTACCTTTCCTCACTCTAAGGTGAACCCTAAAGACACTTCCCACTCTAAAGTGAACCTCTTCACTCCAAGGTGAACCCTTGGTTTGATTGAGCCCTCCCATTCCAAGGTGAACCCTACAGACACTTCCCTCTCTAAAGTGAACCCTTTCACTCCAAGGTGAACGCTTCCCTTGACAGGCATCCCTGACACCCTCCGCTCGCAGAGAACTGTGCAAGAGACGAAATGGCTTCTGCCAGGAGCTCCCCCTCAAGGAAGATGGCCTGATCAAAGGCGTCGAAATCACGCTGACCCTATGGGAGTTGGATGCAAACAGGACATGGATTCCACACTGCAGGCAGCAGCAGCCAAATCAATTTTATCGCTAACGCAAGCACATCCAGCATCGGCGAGACGGTACGCATTGATACAAAACAAGCCGCGCAATTTCGGTATTGTACACAGATGCAAAGGCTCAGTCGCTCAAAGTAGCCGAGTAGGCCTGCAAGCTGCGCAAGGCAACTGCGAACGGCACCACCCACGTGTGGCCATAGTCCAAGCTGCTCCCTTCTGACACGGCCTTTCGCCAACTGAATTCTTTCAGCAGGCTGTCCCACTTGCTGCGGTTGGAATGGAGAGGCAGCCTTCCGCCCATGCGCTTCCTCACCCAGCGCTTCACGCGAGACCATCGATTCTCGATGTGATTCGTTGTGAATCCATTCGCATTCACAATCTCCCCTGCACTGTGGTTCACGACCTCGTGCCAAAGGTCAGCATTGCTCCACCCTTTTTGCCGCTTCAACTCCTCAATTGCTGCCCGTGTAGCTTTCCAGCCGTCAGTCACAAGGATGGTTTTGCGGGGAAGGTTGAGGAGATGCAAGCACTTCAGAATCTCCTCCTTGCCTCGTGGGCGCCCGGCCTCCGCATCCACCGGGCGCTCCAGAACCCGGAAGAAAAATCGATCCGGCATCCTGGGAATGGTGGCTCCCCAGACCCAGACCTGGTCGGCCTGCACGCGACCGGTGCGAGTGAGCGCACCTGGCTTGCACTTGTTCAAGTGGGACTCGTCGATCTCAATCACGTACTTATACTTTTTGTAGAAGTTCATGGCGTCAGGGGTGACACGCTGTTTCTTTGCTAAGAATTTGGCCGGGCGCTTCATGATGCCACGGGAAGCAGCCGGTCGCTTGAGGATGTGCTTCATGACCGTCTTCTTCGAGGCAGCAGGCTTTTTCTTTGAAGGCTTGGAAGCAGCTGGCTTCTTGTAGGACGCAGCCGGCTTTTTGATAGTCCGCATTCGATTCGCAGAGTTGGGCGGAGCTGCTGCCAGCGAGTGGGAAGTCAAGCGGGTCTCCAAGTCAAGCGCCACCGCTGCATACCAATGTTTCTCCCACAGAAGCCATGCTTGGTGTTGCACTTTGACTTCCTGCTCCATCAACTTCCTGGGGTAGTCCAATGTCCACATACAGAAAGCATCGAAGAAATTCAACCAGTTTGCGGCTTTCACATGCTCCAAGACAGTGCCAGTTGTCACAGATCGGCGGGTGCCAAAGCATTCTCGGCATGCATGACCCTGTTGCCTCCACTCCCACGTGTCTCTGTCTTTTCGCTGGGCCAGGTAGTATTCCACGCCACAGGCCGCGCATGCATGGGAATGAGGCACAAGACTGATGTGCATCGCGAAGAGCGTCCCCTTTAGATTCTCGGTGTTCGGATGCGGGCTTGTATCTACAATCTTTGCCCACTTGACCTTCCACAAGATGTCACCTCTGGACGCCTCTGGACTTGATTTCCTCGACGTTCAGCGTCGCATGGAAATCGGCCATGTTCTGGTAAACGGCCATGAGACGTCACACTTTTAGTTTTCACCCGCACTAGCGACACTCTGAAAAGGCTGCAGAGAACAGGCTGTTGCACGGAGACGTGTGTCTGCATGTTACCACTCAACCACACAAGTTGCGAAGCAGAACAGCAAATCTGTGAAAAGGGGATCTATGTAGGGAACACGAAGCAGACATCAAGGCTGCAAACATGCACATTCAGACACAAGGCCTGCTTGACGGCGTTTTCTGCAGCGATGCATTCTTGATCATGCATTGCGTCCACGAATTTCCTCTGTACACGTGGTCGGTCATTGCTGCTTCGAGCAACACCTTAGCAACTATAGAGTCCTAGCTTCAAAAACAGATACACTGAGTGCGTCTCACGTGAAGCTTTTCCCATTCCTTTGTCACCTACACGACGTTGCCATGACCAAACACATCCTCCTCATCCTCGTCCACGTCATCATCTAGGAGCTCGATGTTCGCGGAGATTTGACGCTCGGTTGCTGGGGGTGTGTCCGGGAACTCTGCTTCGACATCGATAATTCCTGCCTCAGAGATACGAACCTTTTTGGGCTCAGGGGACTGGATGATCTCTTCCTTCAAGTTCGCGGGCTTGGGGCTGTCTAGACCGGTCGGCGTAGCTGGATATGCAGAGGCGGCGGGCTGTAGAGGCGGAGCCGCTTCGGGGACCTGGTACATCTGCGAAGAAGATGCGGCAGCTGCTTCCGAGGGTTCACCACACCACTCGGCACGCCACTGGTCGCGTTGGTTTGCCCGACTGATGTACTCCTTCTCTTCAGGGGTGCCCAATAGATATGCGACCAGTTCTTGCTCCGCAGCCAAGTTTGTCTCAAAGGCAGCATACTTCTGATGCACTCCTTGCTTGTAGAGTCCATAGAAATGCTTGTTCTTCTCTACCAACCAATCCTCAGTGATTCCGCCATTGGCAAAGCGATGGATGGGCTCTGTGGAATGCTCGCTGGGAAGC